GACACAATATTCATCCATCCCCAAACCCAAGAATAATAGGTATTATATATGGTCGCAATGCGCCAGTAAACGAATGTTAGTAAAGAGATATAAGATGCAAGTCTAAAACGAAAGAAAAAATGAAAGAAGAAAGAATGATAAGTAAGCAGGGTAAGAACGGGGAGAAAAGAAGGGAAAAGAGAAGAATGTTATGTAATGGAGGGGAGAAAAAACCACTGAAAAGAGACCAGCTCTATGGCACTTCCTTATCCCCCCTCTTTAGTTCGCCGGGTATGTCGATCGCCTCCTTAACCCACGACATCGACGCGATTTCATCCAGACTTTTTCGTTTCGTATTGCGTTTCAATAGCCCCTCGACACAATCGCGGGCGCCTTCGAGGTCCTTGCCTTTTTCAGGATCCCATTCGTCGTCGCTGTCGGCATATCGGTACCATGACCACTCGACTCGTGCGATGCGGTGGGGCGTTCGCGCGCGGAGTTTGGCAGGGTCGCCTCGGGTGCCCGGCAATGCGTCGAACGGGAGCCGATTTTCCATCATGGCGTATAACAACACTCCCAAAGCCCATGCGTCTGTTGATCGTCCATCATACGGCTGTCCCATCAAGATCTCAGGGGCTGCGTAGTCCTCACTGCCACAACGGGTCTGAAGCAGAGGGCTTTCGGGAGGCTCGGGTATTCGTCGGGACAGACCCAGATCGCTGAGGGTGATGACGGCTCGATCGTATGTGCGCCAATCCGTGATCGTCTCTATCGCTTGCATCGGCAAGTTGACAAGCACGTCTGAAGAGGAACAGGTGTCAGCCTTGATCGCTGAGAACGGGGCAAAGAATCGAAGGATACTCACTCTCAAGTTTAATGTCGCGGTGCACAATGAAATTTGCATGCAGGTAGCGCACAGCCCCCACCAATTCGGCAAAAATACGACGAATGAGTTGCGGACTCATGGGCCGTGGACTCGACGATGCCACGTCAAAGAGGTCACCTCCGGGACAGTAGTCGAGAACCAATAGCGCGCGCTTCTCGTCGCTACCAAATGCTTTCAATTGCACCAGCGACGGATGATTGACAGATTTGAGTATGTCTACCTCGCGCTTGAGGGAAACTTCCAAGCGCTCCTCATCTGCACCACCGGCCGGTCCATACTCGATAATCTTGACTGCAACAAGCTTCTGTGTTACCAAATTCACATCTTGAAGACTGGAAAACATGGTTTCGTCGTCGCTTTCTCGTCTTTCTATACGTGCCGCGAGGGAGACTTGACTGAATGTTCCCTGACCTAGCTGACGTATCTTGCGGTACTTGCGACGTTGTTGTGTGCGCACAGAGCGTACCGAGTATATCTCATCAGGGCCAGCTGCCAACGGTGTTATAACGGGTTCGTCATCGCGTTCATCGGAGCCACTGCGACTGCTGCGAGGAGGCGTAGGAGGGCGGACAGTGGGCAACGCGATCCCACGGTGGACGGCCAGATACTCTTCGCGATGAAGGTTATTGCTGTTGTTGTTCGTCTTCGAGTCGGTGCTGACAGATGCAGTGATCCCCGGGGGCATTCCTGGTCCTGAAACTGCAATCGGCCGTGGCTTGACCGGGATAGCGCGACCGGGAGGTACATACTCGCTTAAGCTGCGGTTGCGAGAATGCTTTGACCCAGATCCTTGACGTGGTTTTGTCGGAGACACGATGGGCGTCTCAATAGGTGTTTCGGACAGCTTGTCAGGGAGCATGTATTGCCTGCTTCGTGGCCGGGATTCGCAAGCACCGAGCATTTGAGAGGAATCGCTTAGTCGCAAACCGAGACTGGAACCGCTGCGAGAGGTTGTCGAAGGCGTCCGAGACAAAGACTGGGAATTGCGCCGTGGCAGTTTCCATGGCGACATGCCACCGATAGGCGATGGCAAAGGCGTGATGTCTCCCATGGCCAAGAGTTGAGGGGAAGATATGAGCGAGGCTGGAGACAGAGTCAAAGATCCTGCGCTGGTTGGAGGGCCGGCGAACAGACCGCGCAGGCTTGGAGTGCGCCGGGGGAGACTGCTGGACGAGATGCTGTGATGCACGAATGACTCAGGTTCCCTTGGCGGGCTCATCTGGCTGGCGTTTGACAGATCCGTGCGAATCTGAAGCGAAGGCAGATGATGGGGGTGTGAGTAGTGCTGCAGAGTTACATCCTGCAGTCCCTCTGCAGGAGATTTTTCGATATAAAGCGGAGGAGTATGAGAACTCCCTTGACCGGGGACTATAGCAGAGGGTGCACCAATTTCATTGTCATCCGAAGCCGTTGGGTTGTTGGCTTCGTGTAACTGTGGTTGGTGAACGGTAGATCCTGACCTATCGGTCGGTTGGGCCGAATCCGAATGGACCATCGAACGGAAAGAACAGGGCAGCTGATGGATTGAGTGTTCCTATCCTGGCTGTATTAATTTTTATTTGAGTATATATTTCCCCGATTGTTCGTCTTTTCTTTTCTTCTTCTGTTTTTTATTCCCCTTTGTTGCAGCTGACAAAAGGCCCGTGAAAGAGGCGTCGCGGGTAATATGGTGGACTGGGAGCGGGCAAGTTCGGGGTCTAGATGCGAATCCCTCGGGTCAACCTAAAGTAAACCGCGTGGCACTTGGCGCTGAAGGAGGCCCTGGGGGCCGAAAAGAAGAACGGGTAGGATGGATATGTGTTGTATCAGTGCATTAGCAGGGAAGGGGTCCTTATATGGTTGAGGGAAGGACCAGAATGAATCGCGGTAGGTTCAAAGGAATGAAAGGTAAGAAAATTAAGAGGGAGAGAGAGAGGGGGGGGGAAAGAAGAAGAGGAGAGGAGAGAGAGAAGAGAAAAGGCAGGGAAGAGGGAACGGACGGCGGGGAACACCGAAGAGATGATCCCAGAACCTCAGACCTTCTTAAGCAGGCGAAGGGAAAGCCAATCTGAAAAGCAGATCCAGCAAAGAACTTGACTTGAGTAAGTAGCTTTCGGCGCGCTGATGACGCTGGCGAACGAACGAACGAACGAAAAATCCAGGCGGGGTCAGCTGATAAACCGGCCGCTTCGAGATTAGCCGCCACGAGGAAAAGGCGCTACCCCGCATTAAGTAATACCGTTGGCGGAAGGACCAGAAGAGGACCGGATCTTGCCTGCTTTGGGGTTAGCTTGTCATGGCCTCGGCCCTATCGCAGTCCTCGCTGTATCGTCCACTGATATGGGACGCGCCACCCAAACCTGATATTAATACTCTAATTTCTCCTTCTCCCTTAATCTCAATCCTGGCAGAAACACTGCGTAAGCTGAACTAGATTTATAATTTGATAAAAAATTGAAGGTTAGATAGTGTTCCCCCCCCCCTAAATGTAGGTTATTAAACTGTGATAAATCTTATCGCTACTTACGGGTAGGAGGAGTCTCCCCCCTTTTGGCATTTTCCATGCCCGGTACCACCAATAAGTTCCTTGCAGGGTGCAATCTGCATTGTTGGTGAAAACGGGGGCTGACGATCTGCCATTGCGAACCTTGCGCCTCTCTTTCCCACGCTCTTACTCTTTCCCTTCTGCTTTCTCCCCTTAACAGCCACCAGCCATCGCTTTCTAACCCAAAATGTGCCAATCGTGGTTGCCCAATGAGGCAGGGTTGAGGCACCACGACTTCCCAAAAAGAAATGTTCCTCGCAGAATGCGGGAGGTGTCGCGACAATCATCGGATCGTGGAATTACCTGTCACACCAACTTGTGGCGATCGTAGCTGATCGCGATATAACCCCACGGCCGAAGCGGAACCTCTAATATTTACTTGGTTACTTAGCGAGACCAGGGAGATATTCCCATTCCCACTTACTGCCCAGCCAAGGCGTATGGTTCGTCCGCTCCCTCCACCTCACAGGATCTATCCATTCGGCCTCCGAACTCCTTTGTACAGACTACAGAGGAATACCACATACTTCAGACAATGGCCAGTATGCTTCGCTCTTATTTACCTCTTAAGTACGTACTCCTATTGTTGACCCAGAGAGGTCTGGATGCGCCGGTGTTTGAAATCCCAAACCTGGGTGAGTTTCCCACCAAAATTCCCATAATAGCAACAAAAACTCCATCCAGGGAGCAATTCTGGTTCCAACGCAATTAGGGTCATCAGCTTAATCTCGTTAATTTCCTATCTGCTCGCGATCATTTGACGCACTGTGCACATCGCCGACCACGCTACTGTAGCGCGTGCACTAGCTCGTCTGGCGTCCCTTCCATCGAAATTGGGCCGTATCCATTCTTCTGCTGCCAATCTTTGGTTGGCCTCCTCTTTTGCTTCCCATTTCAAGGTTTGAGGTGAACGGATCGACGCGCTGTGCCACCCATCCTACGTAAGCTATCCGAATTTCATCATTCCTCAGGTTTTGGTCGAATTTGTTTCGGATGTGGAACATGGAAACAGCCACTGATGGGCTAAGAAAACGCACCGACAACTGCCAAGTTCCCCCCGAACCAGGCGCTCAGCTGTCATGACTGACTCAGGACGAACGGCGGACTTGGTCTTCGCCAAATCCACAAGCCTGTCTGAACTCTGAAGATTTCCCGGTCCTCGGGCTTCTCTCGTCAATCTTTTCTCGCGCGCCCTCGAGTCTTGGCACCCCACGCCTTGCTGCGCTTCATCGACCCGATTGCTGACTACGGGCTGCTCACGCAGTACTCGTAAAGTTTCCAGGCATGGAATTATCCCCTTCACCTTTCATCCTGGTATAATAATAGGCGATGGTATTTGATGTTATCATTCCACCCCTGTCTTGTCCGGGTCGGCTTGGTGATTGCGACCGGGTCAACTCCGAACCCGTCCGGCGAGGGTCCCGGCCACTCACTGTTTTGACGGTGGCTCGGATCCGTGAGCGACCAGCACCGCCCATGCGGCATGTCAGCGTTTGCGCCTTCTGGCAATTGTTGGCGACCGTCTCAATGGAATGCTTTGTTCTCGACTAAAACATTGGTTGGGGAGGATTTCCAAACTACTTCTACCCAACACAGTCCATCTTTATCTCCGGTCCATGCAGATTTATATTTGTTGGCGCCCTCAATGTCTCAAGTATGTGCGCTGCAGCCGCCGACCTGCGAGACCCGGGATTCATGCACGGTGTGGCACCAGGGCAACCTGCTCCCTGTGCTATTGCATGCAGGCGCCACCCATGCTCGCTTTCCAGATGCATAATTATTTGCGTTCACTGGTCGGACGCATACAGTTGGGACTTCTGTCCTTGCTGTCGCTGGGGACAAACTTTCCCAACCACTAATGTGCTTCCAAAGGTTACCATTCAGTATAGTTTATCTATCATAACTAGATCGATCATAGTCCGTAACCACTGTCCATCATAACCATATGTTTGGGCGTTGTATCATCGTTTCCATCAGACTGTCCGGCCTGCCAGCTAATACACAGCTGGTCCAGAGCGGTTGAGAGCCCCAATGGCCTGCTCGATACTGATTACATTGACCGGCAGTTCGGGAAGTATGCCCTCTAAGATAACCTTCTGATTCAGGGCAGCATATGACGAAGGGGTCTCGATCGTATTGTTCGAGATAACGTAGCTGTTGTCAAGCACGACGCGTTAGCAGTGCCTTTTCCACATGCATGATCGGTATATGGAACCGTGGTGCTGGCTTACACATTATAGTTCATATCCAACAGACGAAACGCAGTGCTAAGCACTACTCCCGAAGTACGGATCCCGGACTACCAGTTACATATTGATCAGCAAATCTGTTAACTTGACTTCCACTCCGTCGCATGCATCACCTACCAAAATCACAGTATCTATCTTCTGAGAACTGAGGATCTCCTCCAGCTGATTCCCCGCACCAGCATAATACCGCGCCTTCTGCAGCACCACATCATAGTTATCCAGGGTCTTGAATGCCGAATAGATCTGACTATCGGGACTCGAAGCCGTGGCGTTGCCGAGGCTAGTCACCGCGCTGGCGAAGGGAGCGTTGCCGAGTTCAGGACGGTAGGTGTTGGAGAAGAAGATGCGAGTAAAGATACTCAAGGGGGGAGGGTCCTGCTTGTGCACACTTTACGACATAAGTACTCCGTATAATCTATCCGCAGTTCTTCAAGATCAAATAATACATACGCATCAATCCAGTTCGCGACATTATCAATCCACAACTGCCCGGACCTGGTAGTATTCACATTGGCTACCAACCCATCGATAAGATCTAGATTAAGCACTGCATAATGTTTCCCGAAACTAAACGACGGGTCGGTAACGGTCGAGGTGATATTCCGTGAATAACCTGGCCTGCTAGTGGTTGTGGTTGAGAGACACCCGGTTGCCAGGAGGGCCAGGCATGCAAGTGAGTATTTGAACATTGTTGTTGTTGTGCTGCAGGGGTAAGTACTAAACAGCAAGAAGAAAGCGAAAAACAAAGGTAGGGATGCAATGGGTTGAATAGACTCGCTGATCTGAAAGTGAAAAGTTGCTCTAACTTGAAGCAGGGGTCTTTTATGTACATTACGGAGTAGAAATTGTCCATTTCTTCCATACTAATCAATGTGATTCTTTTCTCCACCCTCTTCAGATGGGACTATTGCCTCTAGTTGATCGTTGCTTTTGCGTGCTTCCAGGTCTGCGATCGGCTAGTGAAGCTAGTCATTACTTGTGATCAGTTGAGCTGAGAATTAACGTCACACCGGAGATGACGACTTGATCGGGTTATGGTCAGACTGATTATTCATAAATGATGCTTTGGTATAGCTGGGTAGAAGAATGATTACTGGTCCGGGTGACGGGAAGATCATAAGTAGTAGTCTTGTCTTGTCTTGATGAAGAATCCATTGGCAAGGGCGCACTTGTGCAGGTAACTAACTAAGTAACTGACTACCTCATTTGGGTGATTGTTTTCCAAGGGGCTTTTCCCGGAATGGAGCTGATCTTCTGCTATTGATCTCCCCCAAGTGGGGACCCTAAAGCTTAAGCCTGGGTTGGGAGTTGCGGTGCCCTGAAGCCGATGCTATTTACTGCATTCCCGTTGGGTTTTTATTTTGTCCTAAGAATTTATGTGGGTGAGTTGGGATTATATCTGCTCTTTACTTGAGGTAGACTAGTTGGTGATTTTGGTTGATACTGTGGCGCAGGCATTCGTGCATCCTAATTGAGACAGTTGCCTGATTCTGGCAGTCTATCTGAGTCCTGCATCGAATCTCAAATCAACAATCGATTTGAATGGACGGTCAGATGTTGAGTAACCTTGAGGTGGGAGGCTCGGGCCTTCTGAAATGCCTTGTGCAACATGCTTGTGCTTTGTACTGCTACGTGCAGGAGGAAGACTCCCTTTCCGTATTGTTTCTCTTTCTGCGAATTATGAGCCAATTGTCTCTGACTCGTGCTTATCATTCAAAGTCCACTTTCGATAATTGATTGAACAATCAATTTGAAACTGCAGAGCAAGCAGTCGCCCTGTGGGCGTTGTGGAGATGGACAGCCCTGAATAGTCTTTACCCGGGCTCTCCACAACACCACCACCGTCCAGAATTCTTTACCGGCTGACCCGCTCTCCCACTCACCACCTATCTATAGAAGGGCCTATTTAAAGATTTTCAAGAGAACAAAACTCCCCAGCGATGGCTGTGTTGTCTCTCTTCCACGGGTGACAATTATAGCAGGCAACTTTGGCGATGCCAGCGGAGATTTGGGAGATTTCTTGGCTATCCGTCGCGAACAGTTAAGCGACGCCACCGGACTGCGAATAGATCGCAAGACTATACGGGCGATCTCACAACTCCAGGGAAAAGTTATATCCTCACGCCTTAACTGGACACCCATAAGCCTATCTGCCAAGACTGGCATCCGAAATTTTCATTCCTCTTCGCCTCGCCTCCCTCCCGATGGGACGAACCGCTCGTTTCCGACTGGTGAGTTATGGATGATGACTCTGTACGGAGTGCGTTGTACCTGCTTGCTGCCTGGGCCATGCATGCATCATGTACTTTGATGTATCGTCTTTCTCCGACTGTGACATGATACTCATGAGTGCAGTTGAGGCATAGCCTGGCACCATATGGAAGTCACTACGAGTAGCCTAATCATTCGTTCAATATGTAGCTGCAATATAATACAAAAGGAATATAGACCAGGGCAAGGGACCGCTCTGGACGCAACATGGAAGTGACTTCATCCCCAGTGCCCCCATAACGCCCCATTCTGCTCCCTCCAGAGTGGACAGGATCAATGGCCTCCACTTTGTCTCACTCCGTTGTGCTTCTGATTCGGTATATCCTCTACAATGCCAAGCAGAGCTAAGTATATCGCAGTATCATGCTATCTACTGCACGCGTCATCTGGTAGCCTTAGTCGATGTCGTTTAGGAAAAGAAATCAAGAAAAGAAATCAGCTATTCATAGTCTCACCCCGTAGTTCTAACCATGTACACTTAATCATAGTCCAGCCATATGCACTTCGCCATCCGGTAGCGCTGACCCTCAGGGATGCAGCGCAGCCCGTAGGGCTCGATCCGGTCTAGCGAGACCCCATAATTAGAAGAAAGGACATGGGACTGAGGGAGGCTGAGGGTCTCTAGTGGAGATAGATAGACAGAGGGATCAGGGGCGAGCCGTAGCGGTGAACCTACAGCCATGTCTGTAACCAACCAACCCATGGCTAGCTCTTTCCGGGTCGCTTCTAAGTTAGGTACCAGGCACTGACATTAAAGAAGACCCATAGGAAGGAAGTAGTAGTACCAAACAGTTATAAGTAGTGAGTGACCTGACCCTTTGTGGCTTCTACTTCTCCATATTCCATCTATTCCAGTGGCTCAGATCCATACAAACAAGAAAGAAAAAAAAAATTCACTACCATTCTCACACTCGTTCTTCAATCTTAATACCACTATCTATCTTCACCAAATCCACTCACTAATACCATCACCATGTCCGTGACAACCACCTCAACCGGCACCGCCGCCTCCGCCTCCTCCACCTGCATCAACAAGCTCTACGACATCCCCGTCAAAGATGCCGCCTGCGCCATGCCCATGCGCAACAACAACTCCGCCATCATGAGCAGCTGCTGTGGCTCCGCCTCCATCGTCTCCTATGACAGCTGCGACTACTACTGTCTGGCCCAGGACCAGACCGTCGGTACCCTGGCCGAATGTCTCATCAAGGCCTCCGAGGCCGGTGAGGTCTGGTGTAACACTAACGCCAACGCTACTGCTACCGGTAGCGTTCCTACCACTGGCGCTGGCACTGTCGTCTCGACTGCTACGGCTACCGGTGGCTCGTCTAGCACTGGGTCCAGCACTTCCAGTGGTTCGACGGCTTCGTCGACTAGTGGTGCTGGTGTGGCGGTTACGAAGAAGAGTGTGGGTGTGTTGGCGCTGTTGTTCTTTGGGTCGACTGCGGGTTTCTTGTTGTAAGAAAGAGATTAATGGGATTGGATTAAGGGGTAGTTTGATACGGGGGTTTAGATTAGGTGGATTGGATGGATATTGTTTTGTATAGAGCAGAACAGAGCAGAGCAGGCTCGTACAGTAACTTGGGGAAAAGATCGTCTTGATTCGAACCATTTTGCTAGCGGAAGTCCGTCCTTCTTAGCATAACTTTGATCTTTCATTTGTTTGTTTGTATTAGATACTACCATTGATGCTTTCTTCACTTCGTCCATTGTACCTTGTCATGCAGTGCGCAATCTAATTTAGCCTAGTGATGAGTATTTCAGATACTCATTGATACTAGTACACATCTAGAGGGGACTACGACCCCATCACCAGCGTAGATCTAAAGCTGCCACAGACAGCAACTTGCACTATCGCATCCAAAAGAGGTTACTAGTAGTGTACTTCAGGACCTCCCAATGCCTATATTATCCCAGAACTCAGGGATCAAGGGTTCCCGTAGTCATTTTCTTTCAGCTATCTCTCTCTACAAAAGTCATAGCGGAGTCACAATCGACTCATGCCTAGCATGAAACTAGTCACCACTAATTGATACTTATGGAATATTGCTCTGGATCAACCTAGTTGAGAACACTGCCTTAGGCATAGATATTACTTCCGTCTGCTTCATATCACGTGCATTTATCTGCAACAAGCAAAATTCCTGGTCGCATGCCAGAAAAAAATATCATCTCAGCTCTGGAAAGGTGCGATTCATACAATACTTATGAAAGGCTGCTAAGGATAAAGATGTGGACTGTTCAGAGTCACCATTTCTGTTAAAAGGAGAACACACAAATATTACGTTCTAATGCAGTTTGTCAGATCTAACGATGACTCGTTGCGAAAAGCGACACATTATGAGTTAATGTATCAGTCAAGAATGCTTAACACATGAGTGTATCTTCCCTTCCATTGAACAATGCAGCTACAAGTTGCAGTAAGCGTATACTAGCCTGTTACTGAGAGGAGTATGCAGAATTTGACCATTCAGAGTTATCCTGAGTAAGCCCAGTAGGTTATGTGTGTTACATTCCACCAAGTGAGTGCTGGGCTTACTCCTGATTCGATGACATACAGTTGACGAATGACATATCTGGTATCACCGTAGACTATTTATTCTTTGCTTCGCCTGCAATTTCACTCAATCCTATTTTTAATACTCATTATAGTACATACTATACTCGAGACCCGATGACTCGGAAATTCCGCACAGTCTACGTGTCGATATGAGTTGCCGAGGTTTCGTCGTCCCACAAGGTATGTAGCAGAGACCATATATCTCCGCATGGTAATCTGTTCAATTGGAAGAGAAAACACCACAATATCCCGAGGTTGGTGGATTCAGGATGTAGGATTACAAATTGTCGATCAACCCCGCACCGGGCAGGCCTAGGATTCAAATGGGGCTAATGTGAGCTCGGGGGAGGGGGTTGGGGAACGGAGTTTTCTCTTACTGTTGTTGAAGAATGTGACGCAAGCGTATGTCAATTCCTACTATTAATTGAGTGACCGGTCCCTCACAGCAACAGAAAAGGTCGAAAATATCAGCAGAAGAAAGCAGAATGAAGGACATCAAGATCGAGCCCGCAAAGGGCATTTCCTACTTTACCCCAGCACAACAAACCCCAGCAGGGACAGCAGCAAACCCGCAGACCAGTGGAAAGGCGATACCCAAGCTCTTTCGGCCGATTACCATTCGAGGATTAACATTTCAGAATCGTCTTGGGGTAATAAACCAACCACCACCAAGATAACGGCCTGTTGACAATGATTGCTCTAGGTATCCCCAATGTGCCAGTATTCCGCCGAGGATGGCCACATGACAGACTACCACCTCGCCCACCTGGGCGGTATAGCCCAGCGAGGCCCAGGCCTTATCATGATTGAGGCCACCGCTGTGCAACCGGAAGGTCGCATCTCACCGCAGGATGTCGGGCTATGGAAAGACTCCCAAATCGCACCGATAGCCCGAGTCATCGAGTTCGCGCATAGCCAAGGCCAAAAAATCGGTATCCAGCTTGCGCACGCGGGTCGGAAAGCGAGTACTACTGCACCTTGGATGATGAACCATGGCAATGTGGCAACAGAGAATGTCGGTGGATGGCCCCATAATGTCAAAGGACCCAGTGATGTACCCTTCAGCGAGACGTTTCCGAAACCGCAAGCTATGAGCAAGGATGAAATCCGCGAGTTTAAGGCAGCGTGGGCTGCCGCCGCGAAACGGGCCCTTGTGGCCGGAGCGGATTTCATTGAAATTCATAATGCGCATGGATATCTGCTTGCCTCGTTTTTGACCCCTTACGCGAACAAGCGGACGGATGAGTATGGTGGTTCCTTAGAGAACCGGATGCGATTGCCGCTGGAGATTGCCCAGTTGACTCGTGATACGGTGGGTAAGCATGTGCCTGTTTTCCTGCGTCTTTCGGCGTCGGATTGGCTGGATAGTGATTTGGAAGAAACCTGGGGCTTGCAGGATGCGGTGAAGTTTGCTGAAGCGTTGGTCGCTCAAAGAGCTATCGATCTGATTGATGTTTCTTCTGGCGGTCTACATTCGAGTCAAAAAGTGAAATCTGGGCCTGGGTTTCAGGCACCGTTTGGCATTGCGGTTAAGAAGGCGGTCGGGGAAAGGATGCTTGTTGCGACGGTTGGCCATATCAAGGATGGAAGGCTGGCAAATCGGTTGCTCGAAGAAGAAGGACTAGATGTCATTCTTGTGGGGCGTGGATTTCAGAAAGATCCTGGTTTGGTGTGGACCTTTGCGCAGCACCTTGATGTTGAGATTGCTATGCCGGGCCAGATTCGCTGGGGATTCTCCAAACGGGGAGGAACGCCATTTGTCGATCCGTCGGTCTATAAGTCCTCACTATGATGGGAAAAGGTTGAGGATTTATTTGCAACATACAGAAGAAGCGAGTCGGCATACACATTGTTTTGATTGGCTACACCCGCTTCCCTCAGCATTGATGTTCTACATTGATGGACTCTTGTAAATGTGACATGACCGTGTAGTTGGGATCCTGTGATATCTACGAATATAGAAAATCTTTATCTACTCAAGAACATGACGAGCTATCCTGGTATAGAACGCAAGATATTCCAAGAACGATACGGCCATAGTACGTTCATTAAGAAGATATACGGATATATCACCCTCTGAGTGGAGTCTTCAGCAAGTGAATCATACTCAGTCAAAGACCTTGTGCACTTTCCACTGGCCAACATTCGCGACCAATTGGATCTTCTTGATAGCTTCGTCGTAAACATTGTCATCCCCATTAAGTTCGAACTATCATCTAGGATTAGTCAAGTTGAAGGCAAAAGAGGATAGGAATGTACAGCTTACCAAAGCCAAGTAACGCGGCGGCTCTGCTGGTTTCCCGTTCGGGTATAACATAGCCTGGAAGACCTCATGAATGACCACCCGCTGAGGCACGCCATTACTATATATTCCACAGAACCAATCCATTACAGCCTGGTCATCGGCTTTGTCAATGTGTGAAGGCAAGTCAAACTCCACAGTAAGGAGATGAGACATCGGACCTAACACATCCAACATCACAGGAGTGAATCAGCTTTTGCCCTTCTCTTCACTTATCTTATAAGTCTCACCTGATGGCATATCTGAGTCTTCTCGTATCCCGACCTCGCGGTATCGCCTGATATCGAAATGCGCTATATCCATACAACTGTGTGTCGGCCCCGGCAGAACATCACTAGTCACAGGGATGCTCGCAAACTCCTCTGTCTTCAGAAACTCGAGGTCTGGGACGGGGTAGAGAGCAAGGAATGTCCATGGGGAACTGTCTTGGGGCACTGCAGCCGTTTCATAGCGGGCTGCGGAGTTGATTCCCGAGGTCTTGAGAACATCACGCACATGGATGTCATTATACCAGGTGTTAAAGACATCTGATGATATCGGCGAGGGAGAATTGAGCCTTGAGGCTGCATAGAGTAGGCCCGAAGTAGACATTTTGGTTGTTGTGGTCTCCTTGATGTTCTGTTAGAGAGGGATAATGTGGCTGGAGGGGGAACTTGATGGATGATGTACGCACTAAGTACTTAGTTGCACCAGGTCTGAAGAGGGGATAGATTGGCGCTCGGCTAGTGGTATGTTGTTCAGCTGAAGGCTGGGTCCACTCATGAACGAGAGTTTGAGATTGCTAAGGTGGACACGGCATGAGATTGACCAATAATGCCATTCAAATGAACTTCGAGGTTCTAATTCAACAAGCACGAAATGTACCTGAGCAAGATAGACCACAATCTGTCACTCTACTTTCTATCAACTGAGACACCATGTATGGTCACTTTCTACTGTCGGAAAACTGAATATTCCGATAATCTTGCTGGCTTTGATGTAAACCCTAATTCTTGACCGAACTCAATCTTCTGAGGACAATCTTGCGGACTGGGCAGGCTTGATTGCGTGCTATGTTTCAATTTCTCATAATAGATGCTACCCTTCTACGACCCCGCTCGACTTATGATCTTTTCAGACTCAGGAATCTGCTGGACTCAACATACCAACTTCATGGTTCCCGAACCCCTCGCGTTCGGGACGTCCCGAGCTACCACAACAGCAAAAATATATATGTATGAACTAGTAGATCCGGTGGACGAACCTCATAGTTGATCTATATTTGGTTTTTAATTTGTCCAGAGGCTAGGCACACCCCATGCTGCATTGTCAAGTAGGTGAAACTCATGCCTTATAGTGGTGTGGGATGTGAAGCACGGATTCCGCACCCATACCAACAGATTTCATATCAATGTAGACTAAGTTACGGTCCGCCATCACCACAACACAACCAGGCTACAATTTGATCGACTTACTGGCAGCTTTTGATCTACATTGCAGTTTTACCATAGTGAGCGACACCATATCTAAACCTTCTATCCTATTCAGCTGAGCCAGCTACAACTCTGCAGTTCCCCGGTTTGATCTCCATTCTTGGCATGTTTCATCTGACAGCCACCCATTTTACTCCTGCATGCCTACGGAGGATATAAATAGCGAAGGAGTATTGATTGCTCCTCTGTCCAGCTTGTGCCTCGCTACAGGTTTGCAAAGACCTCAGTAATCATGGGTCTGGCGGATCTCTGCGTGGACGTGGTCCTAGAGTTCCTGCGCTATCTCAGTCTGGAGGAATTGTTGTCGCTGAGGATGGTTTGTCGTATGCCCTGTCTTTCCCACACAGTCTGGTCAATATTGGCTGGATTCGAGATACTAAGTCAACTTGTGCATAGGTTATTTGAATGCGGTTATCGTGGTGAACCTTCTCTATTTCACTACAGTGGACAAGCGCATCAGCAATCGTCTGTTGTCCCGGATTGTACTCGAATACATGAACCAGGATACTGCACTTAAGTCCCAGGTTACCAAGATCCGAGACTACATGAGAAAATGTGCAAGTGAGCATGATCGCAAGAAATGCAGCATGGGCCGTTGCTTGAGAGCCATCAGCGTCGCTCTGACTACGTATAACGGTCGGGAGTGGGTGCTCCAGAACTACAGGACCGCCGTGATGCCTTGGATAGAATCCTGGGACAAAGACAACAACTGCATTCCCTTCCTTCTGGCAGCTTGGATGGGCTTACAGAGTATTGTTATATCGGCCCTGGATCAGGGCATACATGCCAATACAACCCATCCTTTTCTCGGGGCCGCCTTGCACGCTGCAGCGTACAACAACGACACCGTCCTAGCCAAAGAGCTCATCTTACGCGGCGTCAATAGGAGAAAACGAGATGGCGCCTTCGGTGACACATTCCAGCTTGCAGCCTACAGAGGGTCTGATCAGTTCATCCACACAATGCTGATGGCTGATCCGGGTTTGCGAGTCCAGATTTCTCAGACTACGTCTACCTATGGTCCATTCGGAAGTGCGTTCAATGCAGCAGCTGCAGCAGGACATGATCGAGTGGTGAGGATGCTCTTGGCGCACAAGGCCAAGCCGAATATCCTTGCTCCTATGCAGAGGACAGCAATGTTCTTGGCTGCAAGAAGTGGTAGAGCAGATGTGGTCGAGCTGTTGCTCCAATCCGGGCTGATTGATCCCAGTGTCCCTGACTGTCATGATATATCGCCTTTGCTAGCTGCTATCCAGGGAGGCCACGAGTCAGTCGTTCGTCTCCTTCTCCAGATCAGCAAAGTCAAGCTGAACGACACCGGACGCAATGGCAACATCCCAGCACCACTGATGGTCGCTGCTAGCCAGGGCAAAACCCGTATTGTCCGAATGCTCTTGAAGCGCCCTGATATCGACGTCAATCGCTATGCACAAGGGCTCCCTCCAATCTTCGCAGCAGCAGACAACGACCACGCAGATGTAGTGAGCTTACTGCAATGCAGACGTGACATTTCCCTTTTCACCCCGGACCAGTCTCAATACCTCCTGAATATAGCAGTCTCCCACGGTCAGACAGACATAGTCAGAACACTGCTAAACAACGGACATCACATCGATCCACACATCCTAGACAGCAACGGCCAAGCATCCCTCCACATAGCAGTCACCAAGAATCGCATAGACATCCTAAACCTCCTCCTCACCTACCCCTTCACAGACCTCAATCACACAGACACCCAAGGCCGCACACCTCTCATGCTCGCCGTCCTGCACAACAACCACCACATCATCCACCTACTCATGCAAGACCATCGAACCCGCTACGACATCACCGACAGCAGCAACACAACACTGCTAATGCACGCCATCATCAAGAACAACGACACTGTCTTCCATACCGCCCTCAACCACAGCACCGACCACCACCTCAACACCCAAAACACCACCGGCGCAACAGCCCTCCACCTCGCCTGCATCACCAACACCACCTTCGCCCTCGAATCCCTCCTCTCCATCACCACCATAAACCCCAACCTGCAAAACACCCAAGGCCTCACTCCCCTCCACTGCGCCATCCTCCACAGATCCACCCAAGCCATCATCTGGCTCCTCGAAACCCCAATCATCTCCCCCCAACTCCCAGACCACAAGGGCACAACACCCCTATGTCTCGCCATCGTACAGAACAACCTCATCGCCGCAGACCTTCTCCTCTCCCATCCCCTCGTGGACATAAACCACCCATTCTCTTCCCCATCACCCGAGAACCAATACACCTACACCCCCCTAATCCTCACCACGATAACCAACAACCTCCCCCTAACGCACCACCTCCTCCACCACCCAGACATAAACCCCAACCTCCCCGACGCCAACGGCGACACACCTCTCGCCCACGCCGCGAAGCACGGCCACATAGCCATAGCGAAAGCCCTCCTCGCGCACCCAGCCACAAACCCGCACTTACGACCCCAGATAGCAGGGGGGACAGTGGGTGCACCGCCGCTTGTCCACGCAGCGGAGAACAACCATCTGGAGATGGTGCGACTACTCCTGCTAAGCGGGGTGTATCCCGATGCGCCGGACCGGTATCTCCGCACGCCGTTGATCGCTGCAGCGGAACGGGGCCATACGGAGGTAGCGAGGGAGTTGTTCCGACTTGGGGGTGGGGATGTGGATGTTGAGCATATGGATGTGAGGAGGATGACGGCGTTGAGGGTTGCGGCGAGGAATGGACATGAGGGGGTGGTGAGGTTGCTGGTGATGGAGGTCGGGGTGAAGGTGGATTTGGGGAGGAGGTCCGGGGTTAAGTTGGTGGAGGAGGTGAAGGGGTTGGGGTTTGGGGGGGTGGTGAGGTTGTTGGAGTCTGGGGGCGGGGGTGGGAATGGAAATGGGGGGATGTATGGGTTCTTTTGAAGGTCTGTCACAGGGATGGTAGATTGAATGGTAGTTGTTGTTCATTTGTTACTCCCTAATTTCACATTAAGGTTTCAACTTGAGGATAGCTGAAGCTAGCACTCCTGCTTTGCAATACTGGCTTTTTTTTTCTGGTTCGCCGAGCAAAGAAAAAGACTAACCCGCAACCGCCCCATAGGAGAACTCACGCTATATGTACAGAAGATAGACACTAAAAAAAGTAACGAATAAAAACCCATTGCCATGCCGGTTCCGAACCCATGGACTGTAAAGTAATGCGACAAACGATGCTTTGTACGCCAGAGGGAAGATGTGTGTGTGCGTGTGAGACGACGAGGATAAAAGTATAAGGAGAAACCGTTCTAATACAGCGAGAAAACAAAACAAAACGGAGTGGGGGGCATCAGGCAGGGCTGATGTTCCTTTACTCCGTCTTTGGTGAAGAGGCCATATACCATACAATCATATGGGGATTCCGAAACGCGTGGACGGATCAGGTGGATTGACTCGGGTCGAGGTATCGAGTCGAGGGCTAAAATACAGTTGTGAGGAAAAAGGCGGCTGTTGGCGTTTACAGGATAGCCTTGCTCAGGACCTGTTAAGACATAACATGTTACTCATATGTTCATGGAGGAAATAATCGAACAAAGGGGGCAGGAGTAGACTTACAGTCCAACCACCAGCAATGCCAGCAACGATACCACCCGAAATCACCATAGGCTTAAGACCCCTCGTGCTCTTGAAGACCATTCCACTCAACGCACCCGCCACAATGCTGTTAGCAGCATCGTGCTTACCCCTCGCGTAGCCCAGACCGGAGTTAAACCCGTTGTAGACCATCGCGACCACACCAGCCGAGTTACCGAGGAAAGGTCCTCGTCTCGTAATGGAGTTGAGAGCACCGTTGAGGCGGATCTTTGGCGGAGCGGTGACGGGCGTCTTCTTCAGTCCCTCCGCCAGACCCCAGGCACCACCAAGAGTCAAACCAGCAAGGTAAGTCGTTCCTGTTCCATAGCAGAGATCATCGGACCATCCACGGGAGGGCAGCACAGAGCGCGATCCGGGTGTTTGGTCGAGCGCGGAGTCTTCGAGGGTGATGTAGTCGAGGGTATCTTGGTTCAGGCCGGCGAGGGGATGGAGCTGAGAGGGGTCGGGAAGATCGGCTAGGAAGCTGGTAGCATCTGGTGCTGATGCGGTGGCCTCGGAGCCCTTGGGTTGTTTGCGACCGGTGATGGAGTCCCAGATGTTCGACATGTTGGATAGTGAGGTGGTTGAATTGGCGGGAAGGTGTGGGTTGGAATTTATTAAACAGGTTATGGAGAATATGAATACAGATAGGAGAATAGAGAGAGAAAAGGGAAAAGAGAAAAAGGAAAAGGGAAAGAGGAGGAGATCAGAACACTGGCGAACAATCCGAGAGCTTGGGGAGGGATTGGAATTGAGGTTCTGGTGACTGCGCGGTTTCGTCGGAGCAAAGAAGGTGACAGTAATAATTCCAGGCCGAGAAACAAAAACTTCAGCCCCGTGACTTGGTCCAGCTTTCTGCCAGAATTTCCGGGCCGGCAGTTTATCGAACATTTCCCGTTTGGGCCGAGCTTGTAGGGATTATTGTTGTCCCGGCACTAACCCGATTCGGAGACCCGCTCTCGAAAATCCACAAGAGGCAAAAGTCGCGGTTGGAAACGCGGGGGCGGGCTCGTGCTTGGGTTTTTTTTCTTTTCTCTTGTAAATGGTTGATATCTGAACCCACTCGTTAAGGTTGCCATGCTGTACTTGTAAGGATACTAAAAGTATGGTCGGTAATCCTGCGTCTGGCCCCCCCGGGGATGCCGGGCTCCCACTATCAGAAATGGAGCAAGTATCGCGGAATATAGAACTTTTGCCCGAGGAGACCCTTGTGCGCATTGGGAAAGGCCCGCTGGTGAAGTTCACCAATTCTTGTGAAGATATTGAGTAAGAGTGTTTCCAAACATTTGCTTATCAAGTTGTCTGTTGCGTGCGCAAGTGGTTTTCAATATGAATCTATTCTGACTATTCCCAAAGGAAAGTGAGCCGAGTCTTCCAGTCGCTACTGAAGACATATTCTACGGCTTCTCTTTCTCATCCGCACACTACTGCTGCGTGTAATGCAATCAGTGCCTTTTTGGACGCTGCACGAACCTCCACCTGTGAGGGAACGAGGCAGCTAGCCCGCTCTGATGAGACTTGGCTATCTGTATTCGAGGTCTTCATGACCCGGTACAAGGATGTCAAGCCCAAGCCGATGAAGCAGGTGCTGGAGTCGCTGGTTGCCCTGTTGGCCAAGACTCGTCAGGAGATTGATAGGTCCGCGCTCCGCCAGAAGATCGTTGAGGCTACGATCCCTAGCATTGTCCTTGGCGAGCCTCGCGCTCGACTGAAGGCTTCTTTCGCCTCGCTAGAGATGCTGCTGCGCAAGAGTGCCATCACGCCGCTAGAGCTGGTCTCACTGACGGACCAGTGGCTTGTAGATCACTACGAACAGTGGACGGCGCTTTTCAAAGAGGACTGCAAAGCTCTGTCTATCGATTTCTCCCAGTATCTTGACAAGGGTTCTGGGAGAGAGACGTACCAAATAGCAGCTCAGATTTTGGTCCTGGGAATGCTGGCTCGCGCTACCAAAGCGGAGCTTGCTGCCTCTTCAGGTGACACTTTGGCGGCATTTCTCCAGAGAGTGAAGGCTTCGCCTGACGCTCAGGACTTGAAGTCTGTTTGGGTGGCGCCCGTTCGCCATGTGTCGTTGCGCAACCTGGACAACCTGGAGTATATGTCCAACTATGTTCTCCAGCCGTCGTTCGCGACTGATCCGGCTGGCTTCAAGTCGTTCATTGAGCGGCTACCCCTGAGCAGTCTTCTGGCTGGCGATATGAGCGATGCCCCGCTGGCAGAGTTCATGCTATTATTTGCTTCGTTGCAAATCGCCAAGAAAATCGGGCTTATTCACGAAGATCGTAAGTAGCGCTGTATAGTGGGCCGAGCAATGGACTTACCTTCGCCAGATTATATCCCCAAGGCTGGGGCTAACGACGAAAATGTTCTTGTCTTGAAGAGCGAAACCATCGGCCAGTTCCTCTTCCACCGCGATATCACTATCAGAATCGCGACACTTTCCCTGCTGATCACTGCGCCCTCCACGACAAGGCCAGTGTCTTCAGCAACAATGAACGCCATCCTCAGCGGACTACCGTCTATGCACACCGAGTCGGACTCCTACTCAAGAGGCGAGATTTTGAGTCTGATTCGCAAATTGATAATCCGACTCAAGGGAGGCCTCTTGGAGGATCAGGACGGCCTGACTGAGCAGAAAGCCCCAGCGAACAACAAGCAGCAGCCCAAGCTTGCTCGGAACGACACCACCACTCGGGCGTGTATGCAACAGTACGTGGATTTCTTGAAGGCGGACCTGCGCCCCACGGCTTCTTACCCACGCCACGTTTCCGCGCTGAAGACCTTGATACTTCTCCTTCAATCCGGTCTCGATTCTCGACTCAATCCGACGGACGGTGTTAAGACAAAGTGGCTCTGCAACGTGGAGGTGTTTGAGCCTACTTTGCTGAGACTGCTGGTTGATCTTCTGCTTGATCCATTCGAGGAGGTACGCGCTACTTCGCTTTACATTCTGAACCTCTTCCCACGGGAGGTTCTATTCGACAACGACAAGCAAGCTGGCGTGCCACAGATCATTGAAGGTCTCGCAAAAGCCGAACAACTGGCAAGCAACACCAGCAGAGCCGACTTTGCAGACACCGTTGCCCGTCTATACCACATCCTCTTCCGCGCAGCCGCCGTGGATGGTGCAAGTGACGCTGCACGCTGGTGGGAGAACAAGTCCATGGTTGTCGATACCCTTCTGAAGAAGTTGGAGCAAAAGCTCTCCCTCGCCGGCGGCTTGTTCAACTCTTCTATGCGTGACGCGCCTCTGCATGGATATGTATCCGCTCTGAGGTAATTCCAACGCTTCATTAACCCGCCATGGAGCTAACAGAAACTAGGTACATCATTGCGACTCCCAACTTCTATTCGTTTGTTTCTAGCAAGGAATCTTCATATGACGATTGGAAGGCTATCCATCTCAGGATTGTGCAAGTCTGCGACAAGATTTGGAACGAGGTTAAGCCTGTTCTTTGCATCGACTCGCCTGAAGGCCATACGGATGAGCCCATTGAGGAGCTTGGTGTCGGTCCTAAAGATATCTTGTCTTACTCATGGCGTGCTCTTCGCGAATCAAGGTGAGTTGCGTCTTGCGCTGGATTGGATGTTCTTACTAACTTTGTAGTCTTCTCCTGCATGCCTCACTATCCAACAAAACGTACGGTCCGCAAGGCGACTCTGGCTTGACGGTCGAGCACTTTGAGAAAATTGGAACACTCAGCTTCATCCAACTCGCTGAACTCCGGCACAGAGGTGCCTTCTCCACTGTGTCGCAGACATTTGCTACTTGCTGCCAGCGGTGCGGACAGTCGACCAGCGAGGAGATCTCCGCGCTGCCTAGTCGGTGGTACCAGGTAAGGACCCCGTCTTGACAAAACGTTCCAAGCTCATAATTGTACAGGAAGCGAAGAAAATCATCTTCGAGTCCGCTTCGAAGCTTACACGTCGCTCAGCTGGTCTGCCAGCTTTGATTGTCGGTATCCTTTCATCAAAGCCTGGCGGTCCGCTCTTCCAAACCGTCATCAATGAGCTGCATGAAATCTCCCATCTTCCCGCGGAACATGATAAGTCGAGACAAGACGTACCGTTGCCACAAGTGCATGCAATGAACTGTCTGAAAGACATCTTCACCAACAACAAGCTTGGTCCCCACACGGAGCCTTTTATTATGCCCGCCTTGAGGCTCTCGGCTGAACGGCTGGGGTCGCCTATGTAAGTGCTATCTCCAATCACGCCTTCCTCCATGCTAACTATTCTAGATGGGCACTCCGTAACTCCGGACTGATGCTGTTCCGTGCGTTGTTGACGCGCATGTGCCGCACTGGTACTGGACTAGGATTCGGTGGAGCTTCAGGCTCAGAACCAGGTGCTAGAGTCTCCTTCCAGAAGTATCCTGGCCTGTTTGAACTCCTGCCGACCCTTCTCAGCCCGTCGGACCAGAGCAACGCTGATGATGGCGATAACGCTATGGTTACGGAGCGTGTTTTCCCGGCCTTGGAGCTCATCGCAGAGAAGGTCCCTAACGTCACCGGAGTTGATGACGATGTGCTCCGTGGACTCGTCAGAGAACAGTTCAAGAGTCCAGTGTGGGGTATCAGAGAACATGCAGCCCGAGTGTATGCTTCGTTGCTGAACCGTTCGGATGTCCTGACCAGCATCAAGGCATTGTTGGATGACAAGAGAGACACGAAGACCCAAGACTATCTCCACGGAGAAGCCCTTTGCATCAAATACTCTCTTAGGAGATATGCCTCGAGCTCTCTCTCTTTCTGGAATGGTATGTTCGTAATCCACAGGCGGTGGTTTGTCCTTGCTAACATTCCCCAGAGCACGTTGATGAGGTATTGTCGACCCTGAAAGACGTCTTTGCAGCATCCTTCCCGTTCGCAGAGTCTCCGTTCGTGGCCAGTATTCTGTTGGAGGTTCTTGGCGATGTCATCGAAAAATGCATAGAATCGGGAGCAGAGGGTAAGTCAAATTCAATATGCGATGACACGCGCTAACAGATGCAGGACAAATGGCTTCGACACTTAACTATCTCTCCGAAACTTATTCTTTCGCCGCCATCCGGGAGTTCTTGTTCGACTCTTCGCATCCTTCTTGGAAGACTCTGAGCACCACGCGCGCTCCCTCTCTTCTCCGTCGGGCCATCTCGTGGGCCACTGTCCTGCAGATGTTCATTACGGACAAATTGTCCGAAGTTGAGCCACTTCTTGGAGATATTTCGCGCTTCGACCCCAATGCTGGTCAATGGTTGTTGGAGCGCGTCCAGGAGATCCTCGGCGAGCGAGTCCAGTACAGACGAGCTCTGATTGACCTTTATTATACCGTTATCCTTGGCGCTTATCCAGAGGAAGTCAAAGCAGTGGCGATCACATGCCTGGCATCTGCTCTGTCGTTTGTCCTCGACTTCCACAATGACACTGTCTCTCAAATCGACCTTTCATGGGAACCCTTGGAAAAGCACCTCAAGCACGCTTCTACCGAGCACATATGGAACAGGGACCGATCGGACGCCGAATTGGTTCTTGAGGGATGTCTTCTTGCCCTGAAGACGATCTCCGGTGGCCAGAGCTCAGAGCTGGACATCCTGGAATGGGCCACACGGCTCCAGTCCGCTATGCAAGAGGAGACAGTAAGTCCAACGCAATTCTACGTTATAGAGAGCCCTGCTAATACCTCACAGGAATTCACTACGCGCTTGGCTGCCATATCATCCGTCACGGCGTTCGCGCGCATCCTGCGCCCTGCTGGCAGCTCCCCTCGCACCGACAGTGTCTTGCTGGAGATCTACCTGGTTCTGTACGACATGCTCAACGATGATGATGAGGAACTGCGCGATCTTGCCGCATCCACCGCGTCCTGGGTCCTGTCATGCTCCTCTGTATCTCCAACAAAGGCAGTTGCGCTATCTCCTCTGAACGCAAGCGAGCTCCTCTCGAGGTTCATTGCCGAGAACTACGCCAGCTCACGCCTCCTCTGCCAGCGAACCATGGCATACATTGCCGACCAGGAGCCCAGACTTAGCAGCGCCACCCCTAAGTTCGTTTCCTTCCTCGGCCGTCTTTCTGAGCTCCGAAAGGAAAGCACCATTCTCTTTGAAGAAGAGAAGCAGAACCTCTTCATCGACGAGGTCCGCGAAGTAGACGTTTGGTCCGCGAGGTTGCGTCAGCTGAGCGAATCTTCCTACGATGAGGGCTCGCTCAACGCACTCTTCAACTGGGTGTCAAATGGACTGACCTCACTTGAGGAGATTCTTGCAAATGAAACTGAAAAGGATGGGCTTCTGGGCTGGGCCTCGAAGCCTGAGACGTTCACTCTGGGCGTGCGGGTTTTCAGTGTCGCGGGTGCTGTGATCTCGAAGGATTCTGCGGCGTCGAGACTTTTGAGTCAGGAACAGGTTGTTTTGTTGAAGGGGAAGCTTCAGGCGCTGCTTGCTTCTGGCGAGGCGTCTTTGTTGCATGATGATTGGGTCTCACGGATACAGGCTGCTTTGGAGTTGTCATGATTGATGCATTTGGATAGAGAAAAGTATAGAGATGAATTTACGTTACGTTACTAGAATTAGACGGTTTCTTCTTGGGTGCAAACAATCACTACATTAGTAGACAATATATTCACTGGCATGCGCATCGGGCGACTTTTTTACGCTCATCTGCCACTTACACCTCTGGATACCACCGCCGTATGTTGTTGCGACGCGTCATCTACTCTTACCTTTCATAGTTCGAGAGTGACATGACCAGTGAAGGCATGAGTCCATCTCCCTACAAGCCACAACACTACTTACACCCTTCGTTAGTCTAACGAAGCATGTCACCTAACGTTGTAATCGTGGTGGTCCTGGCCGCCATGGTCCTCTTCATCGCAGTCGTGGTCTGTCTCTGTACACTCTGGTGGCGACACAGCCTCCGTGCCGGCTACCACAACGACCGCTTCCAGAGATCTCGGACGGGCCAACGCGAGACTACCGTCAAGAAGACAGAGCTCGCAGAGCGAGGCGCAAAGAGAAAATGGCAAGAAGGCGGAAGAACGCCGACTCAACCCAGCAGACAGAAAACTCCTGCACCTCCACGGCGACCACCACCTCCTCCAACTCCACCTCCGCCACCCCGACCTCTCCCACCCGCTCACGGTGGTAATTCAATCCGTCATGACAATCAGCCGTCGAGGCAGGAGTGGCCTTCTGTACCTCCAGCACGTAGCAACAAACCCCCAACGCCGGAGGAATGGGGCCCTGCACCTCCATCCCGTGGTAGCAGGCGTACTCCCAGTAAACATGGGACGCCTGCTGCTCCGACTCCGGCTGCTAAAGTACCGACTAAGCCTCCGTCGCGGGACGAGTGGGAGGCTGAACCTCAAGCTCAACCTCCTAGTAAGGCGGCTTCAGATAAGGAATGGGCACTACCACCCGATCCGCCATTTGTTGCGTCCGGAGGTGTCAAGCGCGGTTCAAAGAAGAGCTGGCAAGCTGAGAGCAAGCCTGCCTCTAATAGAGGGGGCGCCTATGATACGCAAGGTTACCAGCAGCAGCAGCAGCAGCACGGAGGAGTGGATCCTAATGCGTTGACAGCGGCATTGCAGCAGGCGAATGAGGAGACACACGAGGAGCCTGCAGAACCAGAGGGTGGATGGTAGGAGGACAGCTGTGGAATAAGTTGAGTAAAGTGGGAGTGGAGTGTAGTATTAATAGTTCTATTTAAGGCGACGGAGATGGTCGCTGCCGGCCGCCCGAGGCGGTGACGTTGATCCCCGCGAGAGAGCCGGCGATGCCTTCGGGATTCCCCAGCTCATTCCCTCCTCCTGTCCTCCCTGTTTCTGTCCCTTAGTCTCGTGAACTTAGCCTCTGCTTTCTAATCTTCCTGTCTGATTCATGATTTGATCTGTCACACCCAGTCTCTCAGTATCTAGGCTGCTCCATCAGCCCCCCCGACGCCATGTGGAACGACGAGGATAACAACCCGTACGGCGCATTCGATAACGAGGCGCATCTCTCCGAGTCGCTGCATTCGGCCACCCTTTCTCCCAGTAAGCTGTCAATCTCCATCTCCGACCATCAATTATCCAGCTGTATTTTCTAATCTTTGCAGCTCTCTATGACCGCGAATATACCCCTCCCTCTCCTTCCAGCCGATCATCCACCGACAATCCCCCGGACTTCCTCTCACAGCAACAGGACCTCAGTGACGAAGACGATGCTCCAGACTATGCTGCTCAACCTGCTGGCCATGACTACCTTCGCAAGAGTGTATATGATAGTCGGATAGAGCAGATTCTTTACGAAAACCCGGAGATGCCGATCCTCATCACAGACGCTGGGAAGAACCACGAGGGCGGCGGCAGCTTCATTGTGTACACAATACGCACGGGAGTATGTCAGAATGATAATCGAAGCTGCATCAGCACTTGTGCTAATTGTTTCTAGGATCTGGAGGTTCGCAGACGGTATTCCGAGTTCGCATCACTGCGACAAACCCTCGTCAACCTTCATCCCACCCTCGTCATCCCGCCCATTCCCGAGAAACATACCATGGCCGATTATGCCGCTAAGCCCACCAAGGCTAAGGAAGACACCGCCATTATCGACCTCCGCAAACGCATGCTGGCTGTCTTCTTGAATCGTTGTCGCCGGATGAAGGAGGTTCGTGAGGATGGAGTTTGGTGGCGGTTTTTGGACCCCAACGTTAGCTGGGTAGGTGTGATGATAGCTCGACTCTAGCTGTGGTATACTGACTTCATCCAGAGCGAGGTCCTACACTCCCATCCTGCATCGTCTGTGCCGAAGAATAATCTTAAGGCTCCTCCGCTTGACCCCGCCAATCCCACCCCCGCTCATGCCTGGCTCCCAGTCCCATCATCATCCGCGAAGCTCAAGTCTGCAGGCAGCGCTGCGCCTGCTCCTGCTCCCGCTCCAGAAACGCCTGGGCCTGATGTTCTCGGTCGCTTCCCACCAGAGTCACGGAAGCTGAGTGAAAAGGAACTTGACCCATACTTTATCAATTTCGAGGCGTCTACACGTGAGTTGGAGCTACTTTTGCAAGGGAACATTGAAAAGGTCAATCGTCGCACGTTGGCCCACCTATCGTCCTTGTCAGCGGATTTGATGGAGCTGGGAGCACGGTATAACGGATTTTCCCTGTCGGAGCCATCGCCGACCGTCGCAGCAGCCATCGAACGGGTCGGCCAAGCCGCTGATACTTCCTACATTGAGACGGAGGAGCTGTCATCGCAACTGAGTGCCAGCTTCGCGGAACCGATGAGGGAAAGCGCCCAGTTTGCCAGCGTTGTGCGTAGTGTTCTGCGCTATCGGGTCCTCAAGCGGGTGCAGGAAGAGATGACGCGAGACGAGCTGGCTAAGAAGAAGACGCTGCTCGACTCTTTGGAGCGCAGTGAGATGGAAGCGAAACGCATTGAGCAGTACCTCAATCGGACCTCGCCTCCAGGTGGGGCCACGAGAACGCAGCGGTCTCTGTCCGCATCGTCGGCCGTTAGCGCGCCAGGAGGTTCCGAGGGCGAGGCCCGTCCAGCTGGTTCTGAAGACGGTGCATCAGTCGACTCGGAATTTCCTCCTACGCACGGTGATTCCATCAACTCCCATCCACCTCCGGCAGCACAGCGGCGTCCGGACTTTGGCGGTGCATCCCCAGCGCATCGCAAGACATCGAGTGGGACGTTTGTGGCGAACAAGATCTTCGGTCGGATCAGCCACGCGGTGCACGGCTTTGTGGATGTTGATCCGGAGCGGACCCGCCGCGACCAGATCGGCAAGACGAAAGAGAGTTTGGTGCAGTTGGAGCAGGCTCTTGGGGTGTCCGAGAAGGATGTCAAGGATGCCAGTGCGGGAGTGTTGCAGGATCTGAAGCGGTTCCAGAAGGACAAGGAGATGGATCTCCGGCGGTACATGGTAAGTTCACACTGCTGTTTTCTCGGGGGAATCAAGCTGACTGGATAGGTTGCATATGCACGATGCCATCTGGATTGGGCACGCAAGAACCTGGAAACGTGGACGGAGGCGAAAGATGAGGTGGATAAGATTGTAGTGAGGTAAGATATCTATCTATTGCCAAGGGTACGGAGCGAGGGCGTTGGTTTGTGCTTAGCATGACTTCCAGCTGCCAATTGTGATGTCGGCTATGAGCTGGATAAGACATGCGTTGATCCCAGTACCCTGTATGCTATTGATGCGTATAATGATGTTCCGGCAACTTGAACTGCCATGATTCACTATATCCATAATTCAAAAGCAATAATCGTAGCTACCGAACCTAGTCAATGTAGATGTGTAACCACCGAGCAATGGTGGTCCTCGCACCTCACTTTAGCTGAGACGGCATCACATGCCGTCCCGCTGATTGGCCCGTTGTCTTACTGGGGGCGGATCGACGATCATCGCCGAACGGACGGGCCAATTCTTCCTGATATTAATTGAACTCCCTTCCCCCGTCCATCTCGCTAGCGCTGACTTTGCTCTTGTTATGCAGCTGGCTTTGCAGTGATTCCAGCTTCAGATATGTGAGTTGCTCCCCGGAATAGCACGGAGTTATACTAATTGGATATGTAGATGAGAAACTTCAGGAAGGGGTTCGCCAAGACCTACCATCATCTATTCATGATAACCGGCCACAAATAATTGAAGTGTCAAGTGTCACTTGCCAGGATACAGGGTGCTGCCATACCCCTCTTTTCAATCTATATCCTGAACATCGCATCATCACTATCCCGAATTGCAACATACTCACCAGTTGGCATTTCCACATGCACTGAGCATCCATATATCAGCAAGCAAGCAAGCAAGCAATGAACCACCATCCCATCACCACACAATGACCCCCAACTGGTCCCAACTATGGACCTTCATCACCAACCCCAAAGACACCACCAGCACTAGCTCCATCTCCCCTTCCCCATCCACCCTCCGTCGCATCATCAAATTCCTCTCCCTCCTAACCTTCTTCTCCATCCTCCTGTACGCCCTCTACATCCACTTCCAACCCTCCACCATCCCCCAACCCCCCGAAATCCCAGAATCCCCAGACCTCCCTCCCCCCTCCCCAGAAGACACATACAAATCCATCTACGGCTACCCCCCAACCAACCCTACCATCCCACCCCTCCACATCCACGACCCCAGCATCCTCTACGACCTCCCCACAAACACCTACTACGCCTACGGCTCCGGCCCTCACATCCCCATCCACTCCGCCCCGACCCTCCAGGGCCCATGGACCAAAGTCGGCTCCGTCCTCGACGCAGATAGCATCCTGCCAAAAGGTGATCGCAAAGCGCCCTGGGCACCGACCGCCCTCCTTCACGACGGCACATTCTACGTCTTCTACGCCACAAGCCATAGCGGATGTCGCGATAGCGCCATCGGCGTAGCCACTTCATCCACCCCAGGCCCTGGAGACTGGGTCGATCACGGCGCGATAGCTATCTCCGGCCGGGGGGAACGGGGGAAGGAGTTTCCCTTTGATAGGGCGAATGCGATTGATGTAAGCGTTGTGGTGGATTATACAGACACCACTCAATCCCAACCCCAGCTTTCCGAAGGAGAGCCATCTCTCAAAGAAGGCGGCGTTGGAAAGAAACCGAAAGGAAAAGGATACATGACCTTCGGCAGTTTCTGGACAGGGATATGGCAAGTCCCGCTGAAGCCTAACCTGCTTCATATGGATAAGCAAGGCAACGAAGAAGAAAGGGTAAAACATCTAGCCCATGAACCCGCAGCCATCCACCCACCTACCAAAAAAGCCGATGGATTATGTGGCGATACGACGGGTATGCATCCCGTCGAAGGGGCGTTTATATCCTATCATGAGCCATGGTGGTATCTGTGGTTTAGTTGGGGGAAGTGTTGCCATTTTGATCCGGAGAAGTTGCCCAAGGCTGGGATGGAGTATGTTCTTTCCCTTCCCCTACCCCCTCCCCTGCCCCTGTTATTTGTCATTGTTTGAGGCACTAGAAAAGGGGTTGTTTACTGATGTGGTATGAATGGAACAGATACAGCATTCGCGTCGGGCGCTCACCTTCCCCTCAGGGCCCATTTGTGGATAAACAAGGGAGAGATCTCGTGGATGGTGGAGGGGAGATTGTGTATGGCTCGAATGGGGATGTTTATGCGCCTGGGGGACAGGGTGTATTGAGTGGGGAGGTGGAGGGGGATGTGCTTTATTATCATTATTGTGAGGATCCCTTCCCTTTCTCTCATATATTCCTTCAAATATGAGAGATGGATGATGGTGCTAATTGTGGGTGTGTTAGTGAATAAATCTGTAGGGTACGAGTTTAAGGTATGTTTCATCTATTCATTTTTCCTCGAGATGGTGGTTTGATGGTGGGCTAATGTTGTGTGGTTTAGGAAGCACGGCTGGGATACAATTATTTGACGTATGTGGATGGGTGGCCGGTTCCACTGTGAGTAAATACTACTTATTGGAGTGAAAACTATTCAGACTCTTGTATAGATTCAGTTAGAGTATATAGAATACAATGTATGTAATATTCATGAGGTATTAGAATTACAAACACTGGATATCCATACCCATAGTACAAAGAACAAGCAGAAGGCAAAGATACATACTCTACACTACTCTAACAACAGGAATGACTCCTCTATCCCACGGATCCGACAGAGCAAGAGACCATAAACTCCATCCATTTACAACAGAAACACCAACAAACTACCCTCCTCACTCCAAATGCAACCCCTGCACCCCCCTCCCCACCACCGAAACACCACCACCACCATCACCTTGCCCATGTCCATGCCCACGCTCATGTCCACGCACATATGATCCACCCCCAGACAGAGGAATATATCCATCATCACCATACACCAGACTAGGACCTATATCCAGCAAACTAATCTCACTCTCACTAAGAGAGAGATCCCGACTGCGAGGACCAAGAGGTATGGTCTTTTCTCTAGCTGCTTCTGTACTTTTGTTTCCGTTCGTGTTTGTGTTTGTGTTTGTGTTTGTAGCTGTAGCTGGAGTTGCAGTTGCAGTTGTAGTTGTATCTGACATATCAATCTGATCGAGGAAGCGGACGTGCGCAGTCGTGGACTTCGATTTCTGTTTCGCTTTCGATTTCAATCTGGTAGTAGTACTCGTAGTGGATGAAGTCGGTATAGATTCACCTCCCAAAGGAATCGTATACTTCGATTTAGATTGATCGCTGGGCTGATGATACGGAGTATACCTCTGCGTCCGAGTAGGAGTCGAAGCCGACGACGACGAGGATGACGATGGATGCGAATGTGAATGTGAATGTGAATGCTCAATCGAATGCACCCCCGAGAACGATCCCACCTCTACGTGCGATGATCGCATACTATCTTCATCGTCCTCATCATCATCATCCATCGAAACAGAGCACGGATGCAGAGACGAGAAATCCATCAGGGGTTTTCTTCTCGCGTTCGTGGTGTGGGTTGATGCGGATCCGTTGGGGGTATTTTTGGTTTTCTGTGCTTCTCGGGGTGAAGCCATCGGTGGACGCATTCTGGGTTGGTTTTGAGATTGTGGTGGGTTGGGTTGGGTTTAGTTTTGTATGATTTGGTTGAGGTTGGGGTTGGATGTGGAAGAGATGATGGGTGTTGAAGAAGCTAGTCTGATTGATGACTCTGTGTCTGTGCTGGAGGATTGAGTTGACAGAACAGTAGAAAGGTAAGCAGGAACAAAGTCTAAGTAGAGCAGATAGATTGACAGATGGAGATGAGATGAGGAGAGAACGGATTAGGCAGGCGAGGCTGTCAGGAGTAACTCTACTCTGTGTTCAGTGGTTTGTCAGGATTGCATACCGACGGCAATCAATATATTAAAGGCCAAATAGGAGCAACATAAAAGACCACATAACTTGAATTCTATGGCCTGGCTGGTATGAAAGTAGTAGTATATATTTAGCAGTAGCCTCGCATTGCAGCATCGCATGACAGCGGCCACATGCGTGTGACTCGCCATGACCTCCCACGTGGTTCATCCATACACACTCATCATCCCCATATCATCCCTCTGCAAAACATCACCTCACTCAACACCCCTTTTTTTGCTTGAAAACATCTCCAGCTGCTCCGAAAATACATGTAATGCAGGACGGCACCCGCCATCCGATCCCGTAAAAATGCATGCAACCATCCACGGCCCTCTCTATTCCCGGGCTGCGTAGAAAACAAAACACCATGGCTATTATAAGGGAGTCGTCGACTTCATTCCTCGAAATCATCATCCACTCTGCGAAAGATCATTATCGCCATCCCCTGTGAGGCGATCTAAACACCTGTAATCATTCGTTGCACATTTCCAAAAGACAGTAAGAGAGATTGGGAGAATCATCCCCCTTGTCTACGGCAGTGTCTGGTCCTCATCATGCACTTGGAGTTCTACCACCGGCAACTCATCCTCCTCATCATCTTCGCCGTCCGCTGCGAATGCCGAAATGTCCGGGAATGACGTCTCCTCCATCGGGGTACCTGGATAGGCGGCCCCGCGTGGACTGTCCATCAAAGAGGCCATCCGAAGGTCCGGGTCGCTGACGTCGCCGTCGTCTACCGCCCGGTTGCTCGCGTCATCGTCGAGTAGATCCTCGTCGTCAGTTGAAACTGTGGTCATCTGTGAAGGGCCGTGAGCATCTGTGGCGCGACTGAACGACCACGAGGGTGTGTCGTCCTGAGGGTGGAACGGGCTGGGCTGCGTGCCCCCGCCAATCTCCTCATCTTCGAAATTCATACCTTCCGATTGCGTCGCGCGATCTAGGCTCTGCTCGCCAAATGACGGGACGTTGGTGTAGCCCGGCGGCCAGTCATCATCCCCGCTCTTCGTTTGGGTTCCAGTTGGCAAACCACCATCTCCCGATTGGTGAGCTGCTCCGACTCCGGTTAAGGCGCTCGACGACCCATTGCGGGAGGAGCCGCCGAGACGCCGGCCTTCCCCCGACGGCGACTGTCCGCGAGACTCGGACTGCGAGTCCACGTCGCTGTTCGGCCGTGTCGACGCTTCCGTGATCTCCTCCAGCACCTTGCCGCCCAGTGGCCGGTCGGATCGGCGCCGGTAGAACAGCAGATACGCCGATGAGGTGACCACACTCTGCGGATCAATTGGTCGCGAGACGGAAGAATCTAGTCCAGTCAGTAATTGTCCGATATTCTGCGTTCAGGCTATCTTACCGTTGTACTCGTTCCACTGCCCGGTAAAGAAGTTCTTGGCGTACGCTGTGTAGTGTCCGCCACCAAGGCCTCCATAGTGATTGTCGACAGCGAAGAGGTCGTAGATCTGACTCTTGCCCTCTTCAGGCGACTCAACTCTGCCGGTCATATCGAGTCCTTCCACAGGGAAGTCGACCAGGACATCCAGCTTGTCGCGGAATCCGCGGCTGGCGCTGAACCTCTTGAGGTGCATGACCAGAATGTCCGGGGTCTTCCACAATTCGAACTTCTTGCTGGCCCGACGGTGCTCCTTGCAGCGGGGGCAGTACCAAGCATCGTTCTCGGAAAGGACCTCCTCCTTGTTGAACTCATCCAGACACTCGTAGAGCGTCACGCCCCGCTTCTTCCGGTTCTGGCGCAGAGTACGGCGCTTGCTCAGCTCCGGGTCAGGCACACGTTCGACGTCCGTCCATGTGGGCGCACCACGAAGGGAGTTCTTGTCTCGACTGCTTCCGGCGAAAAGAGCGTCGTGAGCTTGCTCAGTCCAATCCACTACAATACCCTCACCGGGGCGGATCATCGGCCGGTCCTGAGCCTTGGGCTTAGGAGCCGATTCACCGCTGGCACTGTCAGAGCTCTTATCTCCGGACTCGTCATCCTTCTGCTCCGTGCCATTTGTGCTGTCCACAGACTGTCCATCGCTTAGTAGTGATTCGGTTTGAAAAGAGAGAGGACTGCTCACCTGTTTCTGCTTCTTCACCGGTGTCTTGATTCTGAACGACATCTTGGGGTACTCCTTGTGGTCATCCACGGTGGACCATCCAGTGGGAACAACCTCGCTGCTCGACTTGATGATCTTCATCTCAAAAAGACCGCGCACATTCGGGGGAATAGCGTTTTCGGAGCGGGCTGGAGCATCGCTTGAACTGTCATCTGCGTCACGCATCGAGACATCGACCATGCCGTCCTCGCCGTCCACGGACGCGGTCTTGATCTTCGAGTCAGCCGACTCCGCATCATCCTCGTTCATTATAACGGTATCTGAGTCTTCATGGCTGACCTCTGTCGTGTTCTCCTCATTCAGGAAGTCACGGGTGGTCATCGAAGCGACCTGCGACAGGACTTTGCGGAAGATCGTATCATAGTCCCCAAACTCCTCCCGGTTGATGACCACATACGACGGAACTCCGAAGAGCGACCGCTGCGCATTCTTAGGGTTGTTTCCCCGTTTCTTCTCGACTCGATTGAAGATGGGGACGAGCAAGCGGTCGGAGCGAGGCGAGTCCAGACTGGGGATCTCCTCATGATCCGAGCGGCTGAAGGAGAAGTAGCTCTTCTGGGGCTTGTCGGGGTTGTAGTTGGTAGGTACCGACTCGACCTCGTAGATACCAATGTCGTCGTTGCCGCTGATCTGGCACTCAGCAATCGAGCTCGTGTTGTCGAACATCTTGTAGAACTTGTTCTTGTAGATCTCGGCCATCACGAGGCGCTCAGGGTCGGTTCCCATTTTCTTTGCGACCTGCTCCTTCAGCGCCTTGACACTGGCGTTCTTGTCGATTTCGACATCGACAAGGACCGGCTTCTTGTTCAAGGGGAAGTAGAAAATCTCCTTGCCCCAGAGGTTCTCGATTGGAAGCTGAAGGGTCAGGTTGTTGAAAGGGTCGAAAATGATGCTGACCTTGTCGCAAGCAGGGCAGACCAGCGTCGACTTGTACATACCAGCAAAGAGGTCGGTAATGACGGAATCGTTGCGGGCTTTGTAGATGTCCCAGCACTTGTCCGCAAACTCCGCGAGAGCCTCCTTGTTATGCACCATTTCGTCCGTCGAGTCCGGCTTTTCAATGTAGGGCTTCTTCATGATACGGTTGAGATCCTCCTGGAGACCGTCCAGAAGAAACAGAAGGAATTCCTGGGAGTCCTGCTGTCCGTAACCGGAGAAGGCCGGCCCATAACGGCCGATGGTGTGCTTCAATTGACGAGGCGCAAACGAAGATTGACCTGCCTCATCGTACATCTGACGCAACATGTTGGCATATGCTTTAGCCACATCACCGTTGTGAGCCAAAGGATTGCTGGGGTTGAGATCCTTCTTGTAAACGTCATCTAGATAGATAGTTAGCAGGGTAAACTTTTCAAAATTCGGGAGTCTACGCACTCAAGAAATAGTAGGTCAATTCCTCCACGCTGCGAACGCACTGCAGGGCCGAGTTCATGTAACAGGTGTTCCCAAGGTTGCTCAGACCAGTGCAGCCGCGGGGTTTCCCGTCCTTGCGTCGTCCCCTGATGGGCTCTGAAACCGGGGATGATCGCCCGCTGGTAGCAGGACTCTTGGTCTTCACCTTTGCCGGAGCTCCGTTCTTCAGGTTACCGGATGGCACCCCCAGACGGTTGAGTGTCTGCTTGGAGGCTTCCGACACCCAGTCTCCGCTGGTTCCAGGGAGCTTCTCCTCCAATACGATGATTTCGCTGCTGTTGAGACCCGCAACGCCCAGAGTCATTTTACCATTGTAGTTGGGATTGTTCGTCTGGTCCTTCGGCTCATCGAGTACCTCACGCTGCGACCCCTCAGACAGGGAAAGGAAGGTGTTCAGGTCGAGAACGAGGTTGCTTCCAGCGTTGGCGATGAGGGAGGCGGACGGGGCTGGAGAAGCACTGCGGGATGCGGCTGGGGTGGCTGCTGCGGATGCCGTGGCACTACCGAGACCACCCAGAATCCTCCAAACGCGAACCTTGGTCGACATGTCGATGTGAGCAAGTTCTTTGGCGTTCTTCAGCCACTTCTGGAAGTTGGTATGCCGACTGGCCAGGGTTCTCACTGGAGCCATCGTCTTCTCCTTCATTGTCTTGATGGAAGTGCCGGCAGACGGGTTCGTGAGCTTCAAGATTGTGAAGATCGGAGGGTTGATTTCGTATTGCAGGTTCTCCTGGTCGCCTACGGCGGCGGTGTTGTGAACGTAACGGACGATGGCCGGGGACTGTTCTGCCAAACCATACCACTGCATGATCAGGTCCCAGCCTCCCTGAGGGATGATCTCAAAATCTTCGCCGAGCTCCAAGCCAGGCCTCAAAGGAACAAAGGGTTCGCCCTCCTCGTCCTTGAAGCCCGTGTTGGCCGGGTCAGTGACCAGGACAATATCCGAGTTATCGACGGGACCGATGTCTCCCTCCATCGCCGTCTTGTCGGCCTTGTCGGCATGCGTAGCACTCCGCGAGTACACTCGCTTCAGCCACGAATTTGACACCACATATCCCTTTTGTTTTTCCTTCATGGGCTGCATCATAAACTGGGTCACCTGTGCGACCTGGTCATCGTAAGAGGGTCGATCAGCTGACGCAACGCCGGCCTCTGCTTTAGAATGGGCCCGGGTCTCTGTGGGGGCGGTATAGGTGGACATGCTGGAAGGAGTGGGATACACACTGTCCGACGCCGAGTTGGTTACGTTGTCGTCGCCCGAGGTGGTGGTGGTGGTTTCCATCGAATCCGGGTGGTCGGAACGGGTCTGGCTGTCGTCCTTTTCTGTCGGAACCAAGTCCATCTCCACATCGTTCACCACTTCATTCTCCGAAGCGGAGGTTTCGCGAGCATCGGCCCCGGCAAGCGGGAGGGTGGAGTCTCCCTTGTCGTCAGAGCCGGACATATCGGTCGCAGGGTCACTGTGGAGGGTCAGGCCAGCGCAGGCGGCTGCGGGATAGTCGAGGACACTTCCAGCGGAGTCCGGGGTAGGGGAACGAGCGGTGGAGTGGGATTTAGAGGCGAGGACTTCGTCCTGCAGGTGAGCGGGAATGTAGCGGGGAGGCGGTGAGGCCGAGGAGCTCTGAGTGCTGCGATGCGATCGGGAAGGAGAGGAAGGGTGACGGGAGGAGCGCGAAGAGGGCGAGGCCTTGTCGGAGGAGGAATGACCGTGACGTCTTCCGGCCTGCGAGGCGAACGACAAACCCGGAAGCGATCCTGGTCTGCGAGGCTCTGCTACTTTACGGCGCTTTGTGGAAGACGTCGTGACGGTGAGCTGCGCACGTTTCGTGGCAGCTCGAGGTAGCACGGTGGATGGGTTGGAAACTGAGCTCGACACTGGATTGGTGTTGGTCAGACCGGGGTGGTGGTGGTGGTGGTGTTGGTGCTGGTGAGTGGAGGAAGAGGATGGGTGGATGTGGAGGGAAGAACCTAGAAAAGCAGCGATGCAAAAGGAACGAAAACGTTTAGTCAGTCCGTTCAGTACAGTAGAGTAACTGGACGAAGAAGTGGTAGTAAAAATTTTAGTGCAAGGAGGGGAGGTTTCGGATTGGATTAGATTGAATTGGGATTGGGTTGGAAAAGAACTTCCGCTTTGGCCAGATTCCAGATTCTTTGCCGGCGGGAAAGCAAGTGTTCAATTCTCTCTTTCTCCTTCTCCCTCTTGTCCGACTGGACTGAACTATCCTGTCTGTTCGCGATAATTTTTTTCAACCAGGGATTTTACCCGGGCGCGCGTTGACAGGTTGGTCAGGTTTCGGGATTGGTGGGGTTGAGAAGTGGGTTTGGGAAAAAAAAGAAACTTAAGGATGGATGGAGAATAGAGAGAGAATGGAGCAACCATGAAAATAAAAAAAGGAACTCAAACTTTGACAGACAAGCAACTAAACGCGAAGCAAGACAACTTACTTTTTTCTGTGGTTGATGCTAACAACATTTGGGGAGAATCGATGCGGATCGGCATCTGCTCTGGGCTGGGCGGCGTGGCTGTTTCTGGTGGCCAGGAACCTGGCCCCAACCCTGCCTTTTTCTTCTTCTCACTTGCCTCCCCTGCTGGCTGGGGTGCGATCCACTTCGATAACACATTCCCCATATTCAGGATTCAATGCAGGACTAAGCGGTCAGCACGCTTTCATTGATCAATTCAAATTAACAATTCCCTGTAATGACGCAGCGGTGTCGTTTTATTGATATACTGACCCGTTCAAACTATAAGTGAATGTCTGCAGCATCTGGCGCATATGGCAGGGCGATAGCGTCTTCCTTCTTCGGAAACTCCATCAAGTATACGTGAGATGGACTTCTTGTCAAAGGGAACAAAGGCGCCATGATTCACTTTCACTTTGATGAACAGCCACAAGAGACAATGCAATCAGGGCATGACATTTCGTCGGGAAGATATCCCGGTTACCAGTCGGACAATGCCGTCAACCACCAATCGCGACTTGGCATCCCTTCCTGGTCTGCAAGACAAATAACCCTCACATTCGCCGCGAGTAACACAAGATCAATCGACATCAAAGACTAAATCAGATTCATTGCCTCGGAAGCATCTGGCAGGATCCGGGGTAACACCAGCTCCTGCACGGTGAGCTCACCCTTTTCCCAACACCCTCTATCCCTGTGATCAGCAGTTGAAGCAGCCTCGTATTCAGGCACAGGCTGACATTTTGCTGTCACTACTGCCTATGATTCGTCACTCACATATTTGAGAAGAGCTACCATCGTAGATAGAATAAGGAACTAGCTTCATTTCATAATGCTCACTTATACTATGTAACTGAACTAAGCTCTTTTTAAATTGAAGAGCCTAGTACATATACATGAACAGAGTATTTAGAGCCAACGATTCACTGAGTATTCCATGTCTCTATCGTCCACAAGATACCTAGGATTGTCATATAAGCCAATAATGAAATCACAGTTTAGATTTTGAGGCTGTCTGACTACTATATATATGACGGGAGGGTTATTGAGTCTCACCACACATTGGCATTGAATCAGTGGAAATCCCCCCAGTGCCCGGAACATCCCAGTCGAGTAGGAAATGCCCATAACTTTAATGGTCTTTGGGAGGCTCTCAATAGGCATCAATGGTAATGCATTGACTATTCAAGAGAAGCAGCTGTGTTTACCCAGCCGAAGTTATTGTACACACAATTTCATTAATTGTGTCAAGAGGCATTGTGCACTATTCTGTCCTCTCAATCGGGGAGCTAACAGCCTGGTTAACATGGTGAAGCTGCTATTGTTATAGATCTCCACTACCTATCATTCACTGTTTGATTTCATTCCCATCCAACAGCGAGTCCTGACACAAATCCCACGTCTCAATACCATCACAACTGCCTATCTGGCCTCACCTTCTAACGAATTTCAATTAGCAGTACTGTATCTTTGCCATCATACCCTGGACAAGTCACCAATATTGTCTGTCATATTGAATACTGGGCTCAGAGCTGCGCTGGTAGCTGCTGACATTATTGCAGACCTCCGATGCAATGATTCCATATTGGAGAAATAATATGTGTAACAGGACATCTTCATGTTCTTCATTTAGCAGACAAGCAGACTGTTAGTAGCTTCATCTCGTGTATCAATGTGGTTGTTAGTTCCATGGTTAGTAATCGCTCCACCATCGGATGGGTAACTAACTACAAGAAAGCGGAACTACAGTATTGACATCATTTCAGAATGCGGTATTCATTTATATAAATAGCATTATTCAACACCTTCATTGCAATGTTATCTATACGTAAAGATAGTATATTATCAATCAAGTGAAACAAAACCAGAAATTTGCCCACCAACAGGGCAGTCAATCCCGACACGACCGAGCTTATTACATCACATTGAGTTCATGCAACCTAATTTGTGCATCTATCACCAAACATACACAAGGTTATATATGAACCACACCTTCACCATCGATCCCTACCTCTTTGAACCAGACATCCCACACGCAAATATCAATTGACACTGTTGCACATATATACAATAATCCACATCCACAATGCCAACCGCCATCGTCACCGGCGCAACCGGTACGTACCTTGATAATCCCATACACCATATCATTCTAACCATCGAGATATTCAGGCATCCTCGGCCGCGAAATAATCACTCACCTTTCCAAACTTCCCGACTGGACAAGCATCTACGCCCTCTCCCGCAGCAAGAAGGATACCTACCCAGCACAAGTCCACCACGCCAGCATCGACCTCCTCGCCTCCCCCAACGACCTAGCCAATCAACTTTCCTCTCAAAATGTCTCCGCGGACTACCTCTTCTTCACCGCATACCTTCAAGAAGGCGACGAAAAGAACCTCGAACGACTTAACGGCGACATGCTCGAGAACTTTCTCAAAGCGCTGAGTATTAGCGGTGCAGAAACGAAGCTCAAGCGCGTGTTGCTTGTAACAGGGGCCAAGCACTACGGAGTACATTTGGGGCCGGTGAAATCCCCGATGGAAGAGAGTGATCCGTGGGTGGAGGGGGAGGGAAGGCCGCCGAATTTCTATTACAGACAGCAGAGGATACTGAAGGAAATGAGTAAGGGGAAGGGATGGGATTGGGTGGTTACATATCCCAATGATGTTATTGGGGTCGCTAAGGGTGAGTAACTTTTCTTTGCTGTGTTTCATAAGCAAACATTGCTGACAGTGATGCTGCAGGAAACTTCATGAACCTCGTAACAGCAGTCGGACTCTACGCGGCCATTACCAAGGAACTCAACGCCCCATTCATCTTCCCCGGGTCGCGCACTTTCTACACCATGACCGACTGCTTCACGTACTCGCGCTTCCATGCACGCTTCTGCGCATGGGCAATCTCCGAGCCTCGCTGCTCGAACCAGAATTTCAATGTGGTGAACGGCGATGCGCAGTCCTGGCAGACCATGTGGCCTCGACTAGCGAAGCGGTTCGGGCTCACTGTTCCAGTGGATCAGTTCGAGGCAGAAGATGAGAAGGTTGTTCCGCTGATTGATAACCCTCCGTTGAATGATTACGTGCAGACAAATGGACTTAAGGGTAAGATTGAGAAGGGCGAGGTACGGATGCGCATTGATCTGACCAAGTGGGCGGGGAGAGACGATGTGAAGGCTGCGTGGGAGAGGTTGGCGAAGAGGGAGGGGTTGGAGAAGGATGCGTTCGAGAAGGCGACGTGGTTCTTCTTGAACTTTGTGCTGGGGAGGAATTATGATCTGATAATTAGTATGAATAAGGCGTGGAAGCTGGGATTCCGCGATTGGGAGGATACTTGGGATGCGTTGGATGGATGCTTGAGTGAGTTGGAGGAGGAGAAGGTGTTGCCAAAGAGTGGGAAAAACTGATGGGAGCGTACACACCCAAAAGCCACTTCTTGTTGTCATGGTTGTTAATATGGGTGAATAGGTGGATCGGCTTGCTCTCGCTGAAAAGTAACTTCGCATACTAATAACGAACAAACATCTGCCACTATCATCTCTTACTACTACTATTGATACTACTCATAATTTTCACTACATTACTGCTACACATGAAAGTGAATCGACCCCAATATTAGTTCATTCTATATTTCCGTAAGAAAATTAGATAATAAACATGGCAATCGTATCTGTTAAGCCTAACATGGACACCTCACACAACATGACGGGTATGAACTCCCTAGAGTAATAGTATATAGCAGTATCCTTCATCCAACCCACAGCCTATTAGACCTAGTAGGAACGAGTCTACTCACTATACGCCATATACTCATCCCCGCCAGCCTCAAGAGTATACTCATTCCCCGGCTCAATATACTCATACCCACCCTCAACATCACCCACCCGAATCTCTCTTAACCCAACCTCCTTCTTCACCACATCCAGACTCTCCAGCGCCGACTCAACATCCATCATAGCCTCCACACAGGAGCCACCATCTTCAGCGCATTGAACACAGTCCATCAGAGACTGATGCAGCGACAACAAAGCGTCTTTCGCCTTATCGAGTTGGTCTATAGCCCCCTGTGAGTCGGAGATCTGTGACGAGATCAATGCAGGTCCAATCAGATGCACCCAGTGATTGAACTCGACCAGGCAATTCTGGGCCCATTGGTCTTTGTAGAGGGCAGGGAAGGTGAGGCATTTGTGGAATGCTAGCTTGCACATGTGGAATAGATTCGGGATCGTGTGGTCGGTGGTGGTGGACATGTCGGTGTCGGTTGAAGGATGACGTGTGATTTTTCGGGTGATGGTGATTCGGATTAGGCACATGTGTGTGTGGGAATGGGTTTCTGTATATAGATATGATAGCGAGGGGTTCAAGTGTGGGGTTGTATCAAGAGCTGGGGATGATGAGGGTGTATATATAGACGTGACTGAGGGTTGGATTCACTGGGTTACATGGGTGGATCCGGTCTGAGATGTTCGATTCATCTTAAGGGCTTGGTTAAAGTAAAAATGTAATAATATTGTATTTAATGGAGGCTATATTCATTGGTATATGTTGCTGGGGTAGTGGGATCTTTCACTGTTAGAAAGTGGCGTCCGACGTGGGGTTCATGTGGTAACTGTTTATTTAGCCACTTTTGTCGAAAAAATCCATTTTTTTTTCGGTCTCTTCCGGTCAAGGAGGCAGTGGCGGAGATTACCTTGTGTCAAGATCACGATTTGGGGATACTTCCTATGGCTGGTGAGGGAAACTCCGTTGAGTATTGGAATATCTCGGTCAAGTACTAATGGGGCTTGTGATCTCAGGGAAGTATAAATAACCCCCTACTCACTCAGACTTTTGTGGCTGGATCAGGAACACAACGATAGAGGAACAAGCCTGAAAGGGCAGTCTTCTAGTTCCTCTCATGCATTTATTATAGTATACACCTTCCGATGCGAAACTATGACTGTAACAAATGTCAATGGTCAGTCTTCATAGCAATTGGCGGCAATCAAAAGATGCGGGCAACTAAACCGCGAATATGTGACTCTGAACAAGTGTACTAGGCTCTCTGATCAACAAGTACATTAAAGATCAGAGTCTGTTGCGAGATACTTGTATCCTAGCTGGAATAAAGGTGCCTCCTTGCATATACCACTATATATATAACGCAGCAACCACTCAACATCTCGACATCTCGACATGTGAGAACAATCAGTTGTCTTGCCGTGCCTCGACTTGAATCTCTTCATCCTTCATCGCTCAAAGTCTTCACAGTGCAATCGGAAAAGGAATATCAAACGTTATCGGTTGCTATAACATCTAGAGATTTCCAGGCTCAAAGGGCTTTGGATATGATCACTGAGACTGAGGCTGATGGGACAGGCAAGAATAGCAGTCAACATCAAGGCTGTTTTTTCTCTTGCTTGGAAGAAAGGAATCGGATATGGGTGTTTTATACATGCACTGAAAACCTCCTGAAAACAGTCTATACTATTAATATATATTCTTCTGCAGTAATGAGGCCGGGGAGCCACTGGAAGCCAACCATATTCTTGCTTCCAGCCAGCACCCAACCTCGTCTTCGGGGCTGTCTTGAATACCTCAAAAAATCCGGTGGGCAAGTCTGGTTATCTGACCTTCTAGAGGAAGTGTACTTATTGCAACGCATTCGTGCTGTCATCTCAATATCTTGTAAAGCTTATTAGGGGACTCGGGACTGAGGAAGGTACCAAGGCACTGCAGAAGCTGGTCATCTCTCCCAGTTTCCCGCTTCGGCTGTGATTATCTATCTGGTATGTCTTCTTCTATGCTTGTTCTGTCCACTAGATGAGTATAGCTAACACCACCAGGGAATCCTTATATACTTCCCTGAGTATCATCCCCCCCTGATCCTGTCTGGGGACGACGCCGCAGACCGCACATTTTGGGTACAGCAATTCCAGGACCAGCCGACGGGAGCCCTGATTCAGTACAAGGGTCAGGACTAGTGTGCCCCAGGCATTATTGTTGTAACAAGCCGAACCAGTGCCCAAGGTCTCACCCTGCACCGCGCTAAGCATATTGTTCTGCTGGAGGTTGATTGGATCAGCGCCAGACATACATAGGTCTGGGGCCGTATCTGTCGTACTGGCCAGAAAGCCCCGGAGGTGTATTGCTATTTCTTTACCAATGACCAGGCGGAGGAGGAGCAACGCGCGATACACGCAAACGTAAATCAGCAGAAGCTGGAGCAGACGGTGAATACATATGGCCAGAAGACCCCGGATAACAAAAGGGCGGTAGAAGATGATGAGGAAGACGTTTAATAATGGATTGGATGATACAGTTAAACCATATCCGTGCACGAAGAGAAGAATGTTATGCCTTAAGCCGATCGTCTGCGAGATCTCATTTGCTCCTCTTCACAGAACCAAGACGGACTAAATTGCTCGAAGACGTACACATGTTCAGTGTCCGCGTCTGAGACACCCTTGATAATTTCGAACGCAACTTTGGCTATGGCGACACGAATGGTGTCCTCTGTCGTTAATCAACTAATCACTAAGGTCTCAGGGAAGGCCCCAGAGATGATACGTCGTTCACCACGGATATTGCTTCCTTGTTCTTCTTATGCCGATAAAGAAGAAGGAAATCCGGTGGTAGGCTGAATCCATACCAACTATATATATTAAGGAACAACTTGAAGGTTGGAGAGAAGCTCAAAGGGCTCGAGCTAGCCAATGCAGGCAATCTCGATCTCCTGGACAAGATTGTTTCGTCGTTCACCACGGATAATGCTTCGCTTTTCTTCTTTGCCGATGAAGACAAAGAATATCCGGTGATAGGCTGCATTCAACTCTGGCATAGACCGGGGATCCAGAAACAATGCCGAGGTTGAAGGAATTCTCGACACAATTGAGATGGCAAGAGTTGGAGATGATATTGAACACCTGGCCGGTGCGGGTAGCATCACCTAAGGTTAGGTTAGACGGAGCTCTCCAGCGGTGGTTGATGGATACTACGCCACCATATATAATAAGGGAACTTTCGGGATATCCAATCGCTTAGTGGTCCTGGTTTTCAGCTGTTCGTGGGACCCTGAACTTGCAGCTAGCAAATACTATTTCCCTCTGGCATGAAACAATGCCGCGTTCTAGTCGACACCCTCAGCAAATCTGGGAAACATTCATCTCTGGATTCTACTCACCATTCATAGTAACGACGCTTGCGACAAATCAGGATGGGCTTTGATGTCGCACCTTCCAAGTTCCTGTTTACTTTATATACTATCAGTGGTCCAAGCCTGGCAAGTACGGCAAGTTTCGTTCAAACGTCCCCACATATTATGACACTTGAGGAGTTCGATCATCATTGAAAACATCCATGAGATGTGAATCCTTCCTGACGAGGAACCATTAGCCTTACCAAGACTTGATGATGAAGCCTGCCGGTGGCGTACAGTTTAGCATGGACTATCGGAAGCTGAATGCCATCACTAGGAAAGATCAGCATCAATGCCGATCGGACGGCCAGAGTACTCACGCTCGATGAAAAGGTGACCTATGGCACCGGGGATTTTACCTCACGTACCTCCTACCTAGAGAGCCGTTTCCGACTGTATGAATGATGATAAACGTGCTGAAGGTGCAGCACTGATGGTGTCTACAATGGATACTCTTGCCAGTAACCTCTTCTACAGCAGGTGGGTACAGTCAAGTACAAACCTCTTTACCAATCGGAACCATACCTTATGGACTTTCAATTCTTTCCTCCCGCCAAACATGGACTGACTTAGTCTTTGTGGTAGTTGATCCTTTCTTCAAAAAAATCTGCTTTATTCTCTGCAGAAAGTCAGTCACATCACAAAGAATGGCCTACCTACGGGATCACGCGGGTACCTGATCATACCAAAGGGATCGAGGTCTACATGGATGCTGCACATGAAGCAATTGGGACAGCCAACACTGTTGACGAGGTGAGGTTGTGGCTCCAGACGAACTTATTCCAGCCCCATTTCCTGACCTATTACAAGGCCGCCATTCTGCCCCGGCAACAGGCTGGAACTCTGAAGCGCGGAGAATCGTTTCTTACAATCACCAATAAATTGGAGGCCGCAAAACAGGCTGGCGACACGAAGTACAGTGATCATTATCCTGACACCATCGACTGGAATTTTGAGGATCATTCTGCGAGATGCCTGCAGACCATTGTTGATGTCAACACAAACAATGCTGATGGCCTGTTCTACAGGCGTTGGTTTCAAATGAGCAGAGACAGAAACTAATGATCACGAAGATGGCAAATCTACAGAGGGATACGTCATATTCTACGCCGGCGGTCCCATTACCTGGTCGTCTAGCAAGCAAAAAGCCTAGAGGCTCGCATCAGCACCAGACATGAGCAGCAGTGGAAGACATGGATGGTCCCGGGGCTGACCCACTTGCCGGTAGCGATGGCGTAGACCTCAAGCGAGTGCTGGCCCTGGCGTCGTCTCAGACCCACGATATCTAATCCTGACTGGCTGGATGTGTTTGGGTTGGATGCGGATCAATTTAGACCAGGAAAAAGTGAAGACTACCGCTTCTGGAAATATACGTTCTGCCCATAGCCCTGAGATAAGCTAGAAGATCACCAACGGCGATGTAGAATCCATTCGTCGCTCAACTGACTTCGGTTTACTTGGTCTCTGCCTTAACCATATGATTCCGAGGATGATAACATACGATGGAAGAGACGAGCGGCCTCAAGAGAAATGACGCAGCGCAATATTTTTCCTAATCTTTTGAGAGCTCACGACACCCGACTTCAGTTGAGCATCTTACTACTCGTGAACATCAGTCTCATATCAGACACACGATATATCCACTTTGCATAGCTGGGATATACATTCCTCGCTCAATCAGACGAAGATGGCAAACATTGCCTCTCCTTGTCTCCTTGTGTCCCGCTGATAGCATGTGCACAACTTGTCTTTGAACATACGGCAACAGGCCTTTCGTTCCACGACTAGGATAACCAGCTACGTCTGTCTTACTTAGTCCACCACTGCAACACCTTTGGAGTTGTGGTTCTTCCTAGCTTTTATACACATGACTCCGCAGCCGAGCATGTCGACCTTTCATCTCGGAATACTCAAGCGAATACAGCAACTACTGCTGGTCTGAGATCTATCATTGCTAATCCTAACATTAGCAACACATCAAGGGAAAAGAGGTACACTACCATCAACTGTGTGAAGAACAACGACGAGTGATAAGGTTTCAACCGACGATCTACTACTTCCCCACCTATGCACCTGGATAGGAGTGAGCTTCTCCCAAATGAGAAGGAACAAATACATTGGTTTTGCGGTTCCTCTCGACTGCTTGGGTGGTTGCATGTGGAAGACCCAGAACCACAACATGATGCTACTGACTAACCATCTTGCTGTCACGCTCCCAGTGTATGAACAACGATCATGATCATCCTCATTAGCCGATAGATTCTATGCTGTTCATCAAAAATGTGTGGTTGTGTTGTACCGAGAAAGAGCACACCACATAGTTCTGAGAGTATAATGAATGAAACCGAGCAGAAGATGAAGCTCGGCTCCGTCGAAGACTCTGATCCAACTGCGGAATTTGTCAGTGCACCAGACCCAATACCCATCAACAATGGATTGCTAAAACTCCAATTTGCTAGTCCACGAAGCATAGATTTCATTGAAATTGGATACTGTGTGCTTGGTGCTTCGAGACATGATTCATGAAGTCTCACCAAGAAAAAGTAATACTTCGAAGGACAATCCCACTAAGGGATGTTAAGCTGCATCGACGTCTCATTTGGGGCTCTTTAATGAACGATAAAATTACATGAACAGTCGGAAAAGGAGCTTTTATAGTACACCAAGCTCATTTGATTGCCTGATTGGCCGTTGGGTAGAGGAATCATGTCGAGGAAGAGAACCTGCACCGCATCTCGAGTAATTCCCGTGTCTTTCAAGCACACACAAACAAGAATCAACTCTGAGATCTAGGAGACCATGAAACCGGCGCTTAGAATGAAGGGGAGGCTCCAAGTGATCCATTTGTGGGAAATTAGTTATTCTGAGAGGACCTCAAGGAGGGACCCAGATGTCTGGTTGGGTATTACTCAATCACTACTTAACGATTGTTCAGTCCAGAAGATATCATCAATTACTATACCATAGTAACTATCTACGACCCTAACATATATATCTCTATAGTCCTAAGTACGTAGTATCATGTACCCCAACACCTTAAACCTGCCATTCCACAAAATATACTCCCCATCGAACACATACTTATAATGCTCTCAGTGTCAATGTTAACTATAGTATCTTTTCATAATAATGATAATACCCACACTTACAGCCCACCGACCCCTCGTAGAACTTCCTCGTTAAGTAACCGGTAAGTAAAAACCATGACAAGTAAGCTTTTAGCTTAGTAACAACTAGGGGTAAACTCTAAATAAAACCCGCAGTGTGTCAACAACATGTTGATAACTGACTACACTAAGTAACTTAATATATGACATTTGACTTTCGAGCAAGGGAGGGAGGGGGGGGAATTGCCGCGTGGCGGGCCTGTGGAGAAACAAACAGACAGCCTGGAGTATCTAGACTAAGTTGCTTCCAACGTATGCACTAACGTATGTAATGTCTTCTTCATTGGGTGTGAAGTCGGGGGTCATTATGGTCACGCATTCTTTTCTTTTCTCATTTTCCCTGCACTGTACGTATGTACCCCACACATTGGGGGCCTGAGTACGGAGTACACGCGGTTAACTACGGGTGTTGGTGCGTTGAGGAGCTTTCATATGCCCGCCGCACAGCCACTACTATAATATAGTATGGACAGATGTTAGGATCATGCGCAGACAAGCATCGTAGAGGGATATTTTATTTGCTGCGCATGAACGCCCGCTCAGATACCGACGTGGCTTTTTCCCCTATCACAAGAACATGCTGATCACTGCTGATCTGTAGGGAGTGCTACACTCCGTAATCCCGCAAAATACACTGTAAAAAAGAAAAAGTGTAAGAGGGCAAGAATAAAGGCCTCCCATGTGGCTCCTGGTCAATCAGGTCTTGTCTGACGACTCGTTCGCCGATCCCACTCCGGCGGACGCTGGGTGATCTACGGCCTCGGTTCCTTGTGCGGTAGGTGCCGCAGGGATCTCGCTCGATCGGGCACCAGAGGTCAGCTCACTAACTTGGCGTTCTATACGCCGTCAGCACGAAACTCTAAGTACTTAAAGGCTTTTTTTCGAGGCTCTGTGCGCCTCAGGAGTAGTGGATGAAAGGATACGAAGGATAGTAAAGCAAAAAAGGGAGGATAGGAAATCGCGCACCTAAATCGCGGATTCGCTGTCGGAGCATTTGGTTTTCGCGCGTCAGCATCGCTGCCTCCGCCTGGTAAAATGCGCTTTCATCCCTACTTCCCCGCCGGGCTGGGCTCTCACCGGGGCCTGCACTCCAATCCAGTCCCTCTGACCCGCACGACGGCTCGGCCAGCGGTCGGAGATTGGGTGAAGCGGCTTGACTAGACGGGCGGGAGGGTCGCCGGCTGGACAAGGAGGAAGGCAATTGGGTTGACGCTCGACTGCTGGCTGTGGGGAGCGGGGGAATTGGGGGGAATGGGGTCAGCCGTTCCGCAGGACCAGCGTCATCCACGACGGCCTGCGAGTGTTGTTGTTGCTGTTGAAGGTGCTGCAGCTGAGCTTGCTGGCTTCGGATCATGTGTAAAAGACGGTTCTAGCCATTTTCAAGGAGCGTTGTTAGTGGCTATCTCTTACCCATAGTAGTGCGATAGCAAAGAAGAATGCGCCGAGCAGTGACACAGCAATAGTTTGATCATACCACTTGTGCTTCTTGTTCTTGTTCTAGTTCCTGATGGAGCTCCCCCAGGGACGGCGCACGTTGATGATGCGGGTCCCCGGTGGCAACGGTCGGGTTCCCCCCGACATTACTGAGCGGACTGGAGGTGCGAAGCCCATTGTGGCCGAAGGAAGACCGGTGGTGGTCGTGGGGGGTTACGGACGGTTCCCCGGGGGCCGAATCATTAGCGCTGTTATGGCCATTGTTCAGGATTGAACTGGAACCGGTACGGGACCGGCGGCGTTCCGATCCTGACATGCTGGAGCGGTGACTATGAGAGGGCCGGTGAGGCAGATCAGTGGCAATGATGTTGCTATGGTTATTTGCTGAACCGTTATTCATATTGGGCAGGGCTGCAGAAGGAAAGTCTGGCTGAGTATGCTGTGACGATAAGGGATCGGATAAAGTCGGGGGCATCCGACGTTGACGCGGGGAAGAAGTAGTGGACCAAGTCGGGGACAGAGAGTTGATATCGGGCGACATGACTTGGGGAAGCAGGTTAAAGGGGGCCGGCCAATGGATGACAGTGGGTCTGTTGACGAGGTAAGTCCAACTGAAAAAGATCAAACCACCACTTTTTGGCGAGAACCGACAACTCAACAGTGTGTCTGCGACCACTTGCTGCCACGGACTGGCTCAAACAATGGGTTGGTTGCAGTGGATTGCAAAGCTGGAGCCGGCGTGCCGCATTCCTGCACCTGAAGGCGGGGGGTGACTATACTAAGAAGGCGGTCAGGGACAACCTTCAAACAAACTGGTCAAAGTCAGACTGACGCTTTGCTGACGGGATGATCACGGGATTCCTAGATTCGGCCTAGTTCTACGAGAACACTGGATCCGGCATCAGAGTCGGTCTGGGCCGGGGAAAGCCTGGAGTCGCTTCTCCCTGGAAACGGTGTTGCAAGCCGGTCCGGGTTTCGGTCATCTCCCGAATACCACTTCAACCCCCACGCACACGTGAACAGATCGATCTGAATGTTTCGGGGAATTTTTCAGTGGTTGTCAGTGGATAAAAAGCCTAAGTAAGATCGCAGTACAATGCAATCGAACATTCTGTTGCCCCCTCCCCCCTCTAAAGAATGCTTGCTGGGGCATGAGAGTCCCTGCAGAGAGAACCCGACTCACCGGGCTGTAGTTTGTACACTCAACAGTCAAATTTGTCTGCTTACCAGGGGATCATCCGCCACACCATCTTGGCGTCAAGTCTTGACAAACCTTGAGAGTGGGAAGGCGGCACTATCCGACCATACAGAGCCACCAGGACAAATTGGCCTCGGTGCTAGGCTCTTGGTAGTAGTAGTACTTTGTACTCCATGTCCCGACAATCGGACCCTTCCAGAGGGTGCTACTGCTTCCTGGCTAAGTAGGCTGGAATCCTTCAACATTCCTGGTTCATTCAAAATTTTACATAACAGGTGTAGCAACAGCCTATGGTTGATTGTTGCTTCGTATCGGTGCAGACTACCAAATCATTGAAGTTGACTTCGCCATCTC